ACCCCTGAGATTTCCACATTTACTTTAGTCCAAAAAGATTTGACTAGAAGTTCATTAAAAAAAAAAAATCTTGAATTTGAAGTTTAAATTAGTCTTTTTCAGAACCAAGTTATAAAAATAACATACCCATCCAGAAACTTTCTTCAAAAAGAAATCCTGAACATTTTAATGACATGTTCAGGATTAAAATCCATTAAAATTCCCGTACCATTGATCTAAAATAAGAGTGTAAAGAATAAACAATGTCATCACTGTTTATAAAAAGATAGCTTTATTGCACAAGGTGTTGAGTATTTTTTTCTGCCTTTTTTATTTTCATAGAAAAGAAAATGTCAAGTTAAACACAAGCAATCTCAAACTGAAGCAATGTTCATAAAATTGTTCCATAAAAGTTCAAAGAACAACTGCAGATTCTTTAAAATTATTTTATTACCCCTCTTTCGATTCACTTTTCCCCTTTTCCTTTGATAACCAACAAAATTGAACATGCAAAGCTGCTGCCCTTCCCCACAAACTGAAAAAAAAAATCTAAAAATAAAAAATAAAAAATGGAAAAACAAAAGCTGAGAAAAATGCAACCAACAAAATATAGTTTAAAAAATTATTAATGGTCCACTCTGACAAGTTTTAACTGCTTCATAAATTAGGATAAAGCAGTTTCACCTTCTTTTTTTAATTCTAATAATTTTTATTGATTCCTCATCATATTAACTTCATTTCAAAGTTTACATTGTGCCCTGGTTTCTAGTGAAGATGTTCAAAATAGTATTAATTTATACAAAACACCTCCCTATGTACACAAATCTTTTGTTAGGGGACAAAGGTCAAAAAGGACAAAGGACAAAGGAGGGAGCTATGGAGGTTCAGATGTAGGAAAAATAAAATAAAAGTTAGGATCTAGGGTGTAAGATGCAGAGTTGACAGCGTGCTGCAGTAAGTTTAAATGGATTTCAAAGACTTTAAGGAAATTTCCACCAACATTTCCATTGCAAACATTAGAATATTGTCCAGAAAAGGAACAACGTTCAATTTGGAGGCGTTTAATTTTTAAAGACTTTTTATCTATTCTTAAAATAAGTCATGTTATTAAATTGTTTATTAATTCCTTTAATAGTTCTAATAATTAGTAAGGTCTTCAGCTGCAATGGCTTTCAGATTTTACTCATTTAAGAATGGATTTGTTTATTTATTGTTAGTTTTATTTTTTAAAAATCCAATGCGTTACATCAGGTTATAAAATAAAGTCTTGTTTATGGTCAATAATTCAAAGCCATCTTGGTGGAAATTTCAATAAAGACAAAAATCACATTTAGTTTGAGCAAACCGACTGGTCAGCATCAACTTCACTAAACAACCAGTCTGGTTAGAAGGTGAGTTCACCAGTCCAACTTATATCCATACAACCCAAGGACAGAAGCCCTTGTTTGTGAATATAAAAGCAGGCTTTTCCTAACACACTTTTGCTATTTTTCTTTTATTTAGGACAAGTATTTGCATCATTTGAAACATAAAAGCCAAAATGAAAGGCATCATGAGCATTATTAATGAGAAACCAACCATATGAGCTCTTTGTTCCGTTTAAAATAAACTAAACGTATAGGAATGTGGTTATCTGCACTGTGCTGTGTTCACTGTAGCCTGCAGAAAAAACACAAACAACTGACATGCTTGTTGGTCTGGTTGTGTTCAGTAATTGGGTAATGGCGTTCACATACGATACAACATAACACAAGAGGCCTGATTACTATCTGTTTCACTCTTTTCTTTATCATCTCCACACATCCTGCACTGAGCCGTGGACCAAGCAGCAACACAACCTCACTAGATTTCCACTTTACTGTGCTTGTGTTGTACAAAATCACAAGGTGTGGGCGGTGGATGTTTCATCCCTCAAACCTCAGTTACACTTTTTGCTTTCTTTCACACCACGTCCCGTCTCGTCCTCATCTTCCATCCACAGCTGTGCTACCCGTTTAAACTCCCTCTCTTGGTTTTTATCGTTCCTTTGTGGGATGTTTCACTCTGAGTGATTGTCTTGTGATCTTTTATATAACTCTTCAATTAGAACGGCTTCTATATGTCTCTGCTTTTTTTCAATATTCATATATTCACTATATATTTGAATAGAAATATATATGTACATACTTTTGAAAACAAACATATACGATATATTTTTCTTCTTTTTTTTTTTCTATTGCAAGAGCCCTGATGTTACGTTTGACCATTGCAAAACTTTTGGAGAAACTCTTTTTTAAATTTTATTTTTAAACATCTTTGTTATGGGATTAAAGCAGCATGTCGCGTCTTTTTAAGGTGGGCTCTGAAGAAATGCTATGAGCAAATATCTTACCTGTTGGAGATAGCGGTTTGCGCTGCCTTAGTTGGAAGAAATATTTTGTTTTTGACACAGTTGTGACCTGTGCTGGCGTGATGAGTCACAGTGAGGCTGTTTTTAATATTCAGTCATTATCATTTTCAAGTTCTTCATCTCAAAAGTGGTTAATGTTACGTAGTGTGTTGAAATTTGGCGTTTTATCACCTGGCCTGGCAACAATCTTGTTTTCTTTACAAGAGTGCCTCTTTGAAAACTCCATATGAATTGGTTTGGAATTAAGTCATCTGTAAATTGAGCCATATATTAAAAAAGGGATCATCCCAAAGCTTCACAGTGATGCCAAACATTAAATGAAGTGATTTCCTGGCACTATGACAGCCAGCAGATTAAAAAAACAAGCATCAGTTTCCAAGGAAATTGTACAGTTTATAAAATGAAGGATTACTGCAAAATAAAGGTGAATTAGAGAGATCTTTATGCAGTTTTAGTTACCAGAGTCACTAGATGGTGTCTTTAAAGACAACGCACACAAATATCATTTACTGCAAATATCAGTATTTTCATTGTTTTGCTGCAGCCTGTGCTCATTCTGATTTAATTTTACAGGACAGGTCACAATTTTTAAGCTGACTGTTACAGTCTGAGCAAAGTGAGCAAAGACTAAAGTGGATTGTTTGCTATTTTAAAACAATTAGTCTCAAAAATGTCTGTCATTCATGCAAATGTTAATTTATAAACCTTTACATCATTGTCAAATCTTGTTTGCACAGTTGGGTCTGGCAGAAATATTACGATTCCAGTCAGAAATGGCTTTTTGCCCCAACACCTTAGAATTCTGTTTAAAGAATGTTTTAATGGAAAATTGATATAAGAATTGTAAAATTGCAAGAATTGTTATGGAATCGTTTAGACTGAAGCTATTCTAGGATGGCAGCGGTTCCATTTTGGTCTCAGTCCACTCAAATTAGGTCTTCAAGTCTTTAGCTCATCAGGTCAGTCAGACCTAAACTCTTCATTGCCAAACTGGGTGAGTTCAAAGCGTTATCAACAACAGGAAAGGTAATAATTGTTCACTCACTTTCCTCAAAACTTCCCTTCAAAAGATCTGAACTATCACTTTAAATTTTGGGAAATGAAATTCAAATTTAAAGTGAAAAATAAAAACAACAAAGAAACAATACCATGCACAACACTAAAATTAAATTAAACCGATCTGAAAAGAGTTTAGTTTTAAAACTCCCTCATTTCTGAATAAAATGTATGTTTCTGCTACTTGTCTTTAAATTCTGTCAGCACCGGATCGCCCTGGTTATAATGTGTCTACTCATATATTCACAATCATATCAATATGACTTTTCCTAAACATCACAAAGATTCGTCTGAATCGCTCCATTCACGTTGACACTGAAAGTCACAAGAGCTTTTCCGCCCGTCTCTTCTTTCAGTTTGTCTATCTTTGTCTAGCCAGTGGACTCACAACATGTTACACTGTATGGATATGATGGGGCGGGTGGGAGGAAGGATAAGTGGGAAAGGATGGATAGAGACAACACAGGTACAGGTAATATGAATGAATTATTGGTAATGTGAGCCATAAAGGGGCCTCTTTCTTTCTTGTTTCAAAAAGCCAAATAAAATATAATAAATAATAATAATATCCCTATTTCTAATCTGTAAATACTCTCTTATGAACTCGCTTCTTTAAACATTTCACCATGTCATCAGTTACAGCTAACAGAACATAGTTAATAATTCTGGACCGTATAAGAAATCTAATGTCAAATCGTCAGCATCGTTCCTGTTCCCCTTCCACAAATATAAAACAAACAACGGGGGGAGGGGGCTCCGTTTTGATACAGACATCTGCCCAAGAGTTCAGCATACAGATTGATTTTAAAAAGGTCCATTTGTTGCTGTGTGCCTGCCACGTCTATGCATATATATTTACACATATACACACCCCCTGCACACACATGCACACACACGCACACACGCAGGCTCGTGAAGCTTTCTGAGTTCGTTTGAACGTTCTCTTAGTGCACATGAGATTATATCTTCATTGACGTCTGGAAACAAACTGAAAATTACTAAACAACAAAAAGGGTCTGGATGATGCTCGACGTGTTTCCCTTGTCTGTGCTGAGGCTGTTTAATAAAAACACCAGTTACGACCACAACGCTGCGTCGCCCATTGCATGTGTATCAGGACTGAAGTCCCGCTGCCTCTGTTGGACAAATCTACAGGGTGGACTGACCTTGCAGGACCAATGTAATACCAAGGCTGGTGGTTTATGCATACAGTAAAAGCATCCTGCTGTGGCACAATGCTGTGATATAAGCTAATTTTCCATTAGAAACCAGAAACGTTACGTGATAGAAAAACAAAAACAAAAAACAACTAAAACCTCAACACACACATCCTCATCAACTTGGTCCATTCTAGAGCTGTCTTGATGCGGAAAACAAGACAGTGCACGTATAAAGCATTTTGTGCATAACTACTTTGTCTTTGCCAGAAAATCAAATACGGGGTGAACAGAAATATCATGTATGCGTTGGCAAGGGATTTCCAGGGTGATAAAAGAGGAGAGAAAAATGACACGATAATGTAAAGCAGTCAGGCAGAAAGAAAGGCAGGCTCCTGTGCTGTGGAGATCTATCTCTGACCCCTTCGAACTGTAGTGTTAGCAGGGAGCAGCTTCCTGCAGGCTGGCACAGCACAGGCACTGACGGCTAAGCTGTGCATGTGCATGTCCCTCACCCCGATTCACCGCAGAGGCTCCAGGCAAAGCGCTGGCTTTTGACCAGCATTGTATTAAAAGTTACAGTGACAGGCCTCGGTCATGACAGGCTACACCAATGTGTAGGACTTGGAGTATGCCCCCGAGCCTCCATCCCTCTGCTTCTGTAGTCTGCCTAAGCCCGAGGAGCTGCTCTCCAGAAGAGAGTCTCTGGATCCTCCTATCTTGGAGGAAGAAGAGGAGGCACCTCCAGGGGTCCCACCTGTGGCCCCTGCTGCTCCGCCTCCACCAGAGGAGGATGATGCGCCTGCAGCTGCTGCAGCTGTGGCTGCAGCGGCTGCGGCTGCGCTCTGAGCTGCTGCAGCAGAGGAGCCAGGCATGGTTAGAGTCCTCTGGGGAAGTGTGGAACTGCTAGAGCTAGCAGACACTCCCCCACTTCCTCCACCGCCTCCTGACGCTCCTCCAGAGGAAGTCGCGGAGGAGCTGAGGTTGGAAAGCCCGGAGTGGCCCATGGATAGAGCCGGCTGCTTTGTAGAGTCCAGAGTCACATGACGGCCCTGGCTGTGGTACACTCGCTGGGCCAGGCCCCGAATAGAGGCTTCTCGTGGCGGAACCACTGGACACGGGTCATGATGTTCTGACTGCTTTCTGAAAAAGGGATCTGACTTCATGTAGAGGGGAAGATTGCAGTAATCACCTGCAAGAGAAAAATCTTTCATTAAACTGAATATTTTAGTTTTTTGTTTTTAAAGAGAAAATCTGCAGTGACCACTCACTCTTGGCGCGGTGTGGAATGGGCACAGCTACATTCTTGCCACGGTCGTAGTCTTGGGGTTTGGGTGGTGAGGCAGTGAAACGGCAGATCCCGGGCTCTGACGGCGTGCTCATAGACGTCATGCTGTCCGCATTGTCATTGGTCCCTGTGGTCATTTGATCGGATGAGCTGTCAGAGATGAAACACTCTGTAATCTCAAACTTGGCATGCTGCAGGTGTTCCTCCAGCTTGGCGTGCTCATACGCTCTCGCCAATTCCTCGTAGGTGGAGGAAGCGCTCTCTGTGGACACCATACTGTTGCGTCCCTTATCTGTGAAAGAAGGAAAGCGAGAACATTTTGTTCATCCCAGTGATCAAACTAGCAAAACGAGTGGCATTTTCCTCGTACATGTTAATGGCTGTAAGTGTCACGTCACCCTCATGCTAACCTGTGTCTTGTGAGAGGCTGGCGCTGTAGCTGTCACTTTCGGTGACAGTGATGCCATGCTGGGAGCCTACTGTGCGCCAGTCTGAAGTGAGAGTGCGGGCTGGCGTGGAAGCCTGACACTTGGTCAGAGTCCACTGACTGGAGTATCGGTTCCTGATGCTGTGGGCCGACTTCACACTCTTTCTCGACACTGGGTCTGATGGTAAATGGAAAACAAATGAAAGGCAATGAGCGATTGGATCATGGGTGTTTATGGTCAAAAAAGAAATGGACCTTTACAAAACAATTTTACACGAATAACTCAAAATATATACCTTTAGATTTACTAATACTATAATGTTTCACTTAAAATGAGCCATGAACTGAGCAGTTAGGGGGAAATTGAACAGTTCAAGCTAACACCGATTAGTCTATCGCAAGGGTTTTAAGGAATAGTTTGGACTTTTTTCTATTTCAATTTACCTTTACTGTCATTGCACTGAAGAACAATGCAACAAAATGTAATTGGCAACATTCTAATAGCAGCACCGTCACCATTTTTGAAGTGGGGCTTGGTCATGTATTTACCTGAAGTTTGAATGATCTCGAATTGGAGAGTCAGCGAGTAGTTATTGCAAAAGAGTCAATCTAACTGCTAGTCCTAATCGAGCCAGTTGCTCATTAAATTTCTGCGGTCCTAAAACAACTCAAATGTCATAAATGTCATTGTCCTTCAAGCAGATGCTAACACCATTGTCACTTTTGAGGTGGCTGGCTTTTCATAGGGAGTGTTGGCACAGAGGTTAGAGAAGGCGAGCCAATGATCAGAAGGTTGCTGGTTCAACACCCCTGACTAACAACATCAAATGTGGGTGGGAAAGGTGAAGCACCCGTTCCTGCCTCCATCCCCAGTTGCCCCACTCAGGTCCCACTCTTGCGCCTTGAGCCCTTTACCCCAGTTGCTCCCCAGGCGCCATAGATGTTCTGCCCTCTGCTTCACATGTGTGACGAGAAAAATTAAGAGAATTAATTTCCACATTGCGAATTAATAGAGTTACCGGTAATTTTACATGCAAGTCTGTAGTTATTGTATAAATAATTATGAAGTGTTCACACTATTGTATCTGGTGCAAAGAGAATAACCTTCACATCAATATGAAGAAGACAAAGGAGATAATTGTGGACTTCAGAAGGAACAAACACACCTACACTACCTTGAACATAAGAGGATCTGCATTGGAAGTGGTCTCCAGCTCCAAGTACTTGGGTGTACACATGAATGACAACCTCAGCTGGAGCAACAACACCACCAGCCTGATCAAGAAAGCTCATCAGAGACTCTACTTCCTCAGGCGGCTGAGACGAGCTGGTCTGGGAAGCTCAGTCCTCACCTCCTTCTACAGGTGTGCAGTGGAGAGCATCCTGTGCTCCAGCATCAACGTGTGGCATGGAGGCTGCACAGCTGCAGAAAGAAAAGCTTTGCAGAGAGTGGTGAAGGCTGCACAGAAGTCTGTTGGAGTCAGCCTCCCCACCATCACAGACATCTACACCTCCAGATGCAGGAAGAGGGCCACCTGCATCATGAAGGACCCCACTGCAGCACACACACTTTTTGCCCCGCTCCCTTTAGGAAGGAGGAGCATTAAGTGTAGAACCACTAAACTGAGGAACAGCTTCTACCCTGAAGCTGTTAGGCTCATGAATCTTTAACCAGAATAATCACAGTGAAAATCACATCATGTTGCTTCTGGTCTGTTTCATGTTGCTGCTGATCTGTTTCAATGTTGCTGCTGATCTGTTTCATGTTGAGGTGTTTGTGCATGCTCATCTGCTCGCATGGCCTCATGCTCATGCTCGTGCTGCTGTTCGACGTAACGTTTTTATGCTGTTAGTGCTTGTTGTATTTTTAGTTGATGTTTCTCTTAGTTCATATCTTAGATCTTATTACTGTTTTTCTTTTACATTTTATTGTTGGATGTAACTGGGACCCTGTGTACATAATTTTGCTCCACCACATGTACCACATGAGGTGCGAATGACAATAAAGAATCTCTGACTCTGACTATTGTGAACCATTTTTCTTCCATACATTTTTCAGCATCTTTCTCATTCCACAATGTTTGTGCTATTTCAACAAATCATTTATCAAAACTTTTAGCTCTTTCTCTATGAGAACTTTAACTGTTTGAAATATGTAGCCTTTTCTGCCATTTTTTTCCTCATGGTAAATTAGTTGAGCTCATTTTACATCCTTCAAATCTTTAGATCTGTTTACAACCTTTTACTGCTCCTTTCACGTTTTGTTCTGGTTCGTGCTTCTTCTAACTTCTTTCAACTCATTTCTGCTATTTTTTTCTTCAGCTGTTTTGTGCTCCTTTCAGATTCTTTCTGCTAACTACAACATTTTTGCGCTTCTTCTAATGTCTTTCTGTTAATTTCAGCTTGTTATGCTCCTTTCAGCTTATTTCTGCAAGTTTCAACTTTTTCTACAATTTCAGCTACTATATAGCTGTTCTTACGCTAATTTAAGCATTTTCAGCTAATTCCACAATTTTTGCACTCATTTCAACTTAATTCTACTTAATTCAGCAAAAACTGTGTTCTCCACTTCCTTGTTGTAATTTGTTTCTTTCTGCTTTTATAACTACATTTCAATGTTTTTTTTTCTTTGCTAATTTCAGCTGTTTTCAGATAAATTCACATTTTTCATGGTAATTTCTGCTACCTTCAGCCTAATTAACTACTGTATGCTAATTTCAGCTTGCTATGCTCCTTTCAGCTTAATTACTGGTATGCTAGTTTATTTAGTCTATTTCTGCTATTTCAGCTACTATTTAGCTGTTTCTATTCAAATTTTAGCTTTTTCAGCTAATTCCACATTTTTTAGCTCTTTTCAGCTCTATCCACTTCCTTCTGGAAGTTTAAACTTCTTTCTGCCTTTTAGCTACTTTTGAGCTATTTTTTGTTAATTTCAGCTTTTTTTTGTTAAATTCCCAATGTTTGTGTTAATCTCTGCTTATTTAAACTTAGTTCAGTAAAAATGTGTTCCCTCTGCTTTCTTCTGCAAATTTAGTCTTGTTCTTCCATTCCAGTTACATTTAAGCATGTTTTTTTTGCTAATTTCAGCTGTTTTTCGGCAAGTTCTTCATGTAATAAGCAGTCACACTGCATTTTCACAGGAAATGCAATTTTTCTAGGAGTTTTTTAAATTGTCATAGTAGCTCACATTTGCATGTGTATGGTATGAAATTTGGAATTTCTCTAGTTTCTTGATTTCTTGATTTTTGTACAGTTGACTAATCAAGTACAATTGTACAAGATTAGTTATATAACTTCTCTAGTTAATATTTCAAACTGTTGGTTTGCAGACAACTACAAAAATACACTGTGCATTACATGTCTTGTATAATGAAACATATCAATAGTGCCCATCCTGAATAACTATTTGATGCAAAAATTATGAAAAAAAAAACTTTTTTTTTGTTTTTTTACTGCAGCTCAACAAAAAAGAATAGATTTTTTACATTTACCTTTGTTCATATATTTTCTATGCACAGCTATGGTTAGCATGTTTCAAAATGCAAATCACGTTTTTCACAGAGAACTATTATAACAAACATGGTCTTCACTATAAATTATGACAGACTTCTATGTAAATAACCAGTTAATGCAAAAGTGACATTTGTGTAAGGGTGAACTGCATTTTTTTTTTTAATTTAAAGTTGTTTAAAGATGGCAGAAATCTGCTTGAATGTTAGCCTTAGTTTGTCGAGCTGTAAACCTGACTATCATTGGAGCTTCTCTCTGATTATCCATACTGAGATTGTTCAGACAGCAGGTGAGATACTGACCACTGACAACAACTACGCAGAACCCCACTTCAACCAAACTATCTCTTTAAAGCATGTGCAGTAGAGCTTTGTGTGCAACTCTAGTAGAATGAGCAGTGATGAGAGAAAACACATACTGGTTCCTGGTCTGATGTCAGACATGTCTATCAAAGGACCTGTGTTTTGGATGAGGGCAGGGTGATGGATAGATACACCAGTGCAGAAGCTCTGAGGGTTCCCCGTTTGGTTGAACTCTGTGTCTGTCACAGGGATAGTAGCCTTGTCGTCACCTTGAGACAAAAACATATGTTTGAAAACACTTTTGATGGAGCAGTCCACTATACTTTGTAGATATGTGAACACAAAACTTTCTGGCTGTTTTTTTCCTCACCAATTTGCTTGATGCCCTCTTTGTCCTCAATTAGCAACTGCACTCTGGGGATGTCAATGTGTAACCGTGGGCCCTGAGGAGGTCCTTTCACTGGGGTGTCAAAGCTGCGATTGTTTTTACTAATTTAGATATAAAAGATTAGCACACACCATCATTTGTGGGTTTGTGAAAATGCTAATTTTCAAGAGCGACATTAAGATTTTAGACTGATATCGTGGACCACAGGAAAACATCTCACCTGATCAGCATCTCTGCCAGGCTTTTAGCATCTAAAGGAAGCAGAAGTTACAAATAAATAATTTCTCTCATGTAAAATCAAGAAAACAATAAAAAATTTGCTTCAATATTTCTTCTAGGCGTACTCCTTTCATGTTTCCTCTCCTCATTTCTCACCTCTTAGTCTTTTCAGCCTCTTTTCTTTGCGTTTCTTGCGAATGATGAAGAGGAGTGCAACGCCGAGAGTGACCAGAATCACAGGGGAGCCGATGGAAAACAACTTCTTCACGTCATCGTTTTTTTTCAGAGGAGATTTGATGGGAGCGATTGTGCCTGTGCAAACGCAGAAAGATAAAAGTTGTAAAACTTTAACCACTTCGTCATAAAGTGACAAAATCTGTCCCTTTGTCTGTTTTGTTTGTGTTTGCTCTTGTCTTTATTCCCTTTTCTGATTCTTGTGTTTGACTCGGTTCCTTTGTGTTTGGCGCCATCGTGTGGTCTGTCCCATCTATTGCTCCCTCATGTAATCAAGTCCCTGCCTCCTACACCTGTTGTCTGTCCCAGGTGTTTTCACTCTGTCTCGTCAGAGTCTGTGAAGTCTGTGTCTCCTGTTCTTTATTATCTGGGCTCATTGCACCACATCATGGTTTCATCTGTCTTAGTGTCCTCTCATGGTTCAGGTAAATTGTTGTTGCTGTCTTTTTATATTTGCATTAAATATTTTTTACTTTAAACCTGAGTCCTCCCTTCATTTTGGGTACAATCACCACCAGGTTGTTACATAAAGTTGAAGTTTAAAATAGTGAAGTCAAAAATGCCATTTATACAAATAGGAAAAAAAGTCTTCTACTCACTGCCATCATAGTCCAGTGTTGCAAACTGGGAACTCTGGTTGCCACAGCCTGCACTGTTGCATGCTTTCATCTTCATTTCATACCAGGTGGCCTCCCGCAGCTCCGCCAGGAACACATCTGCGGTGGTGTTGGTTCGCACAGTCTGCCACACCCATGTCCCTGCACATGAACACACACTAACATCAAGTCTAGCTGTGTGAATGGTTATGAAGCATTCACACTATTGTGATCCATTTTTCTTCCATATGTTATTTTTTTTGTCATCTTTCTTGTTCCACAATTTTTGTGCTATTTTAACAAATCGTATATTAAAATGTTCAGGAGAAGTAGTCCCAGGCTTTTGGTATTGATACATCTTTAACTTTTTGAAATATTTAGCTTTTCCTGCCATTTTTTTCCTCATAGAAAATGAATTGAGCTCATTTTACATCCTTCACATCTTTAGATCTGTTTACAACCTTTGACTGCTCCTTTCACATTTTGTTCTGGTTTAGCTTCTTTCAGCTTCTTTGTGCAAATTTTAACTTCTTTCAGCTGTTGTGTTTTTTGTTTTTTTTCAGCAGTTTTGTGCTACTTTCAGATTCTTTCTGCTATCTACAACATTATTGTGCTTCTTCTTTCTGCTAATTTCAGCTTGTGATGCTCCTTTCAGCTTAGTTCTGCAGGTTTCAGCCTTTCCTCTATTTCAGCTGTTTTTATGCTTATTTTAGCATTTTTCAGCTAATTCCACTTTTGTTGCACACATTTCAACTTTTTTTCCCCCAGCCTAATTCAGCAAAATTGTGCTCTATCCACTTCCTTCTGCTAATTTCAGCTTCTTTCTGCTTTTTCTTCTTGGTACTTATTCAGCTGGTTATAAGTTCAGCTTTTTTTTTTGGTCAGGTAATTTCCACTTTATTGTGCCCCTTTCTGCTTCTTCCAGCCTAACTGGGCAAACATGTTCATTATCCTTTCTTATGCTAATTTAAGCTTGTTCTAGCTTTTTAGCATATGTTAGCAAATTTCATCTGTTTTCAGATAAATTCAAGATTTTCATGGTAATTTCTGCTACTTTCAAGCTAATTAACTTTATGGTAATTTCAGCTTGTTATGCTCCTTTCAGCTTATTTCTGCTAGTTTCAGTTATTTCACCTACTATTTAGCTGTTTTTTTGCTAATATTAGCTTTTTCAGTTAATTCCACATTTTTTGCACTCATTTCAACTTTTGTGTGTGTTCTGCTCTCTACTGCTGATTTATGATTGTTCTACATTTCAGCATTGGTGTTTGTGTGTGTGTGTGTGTGTGTGTGTGCTAATTTCAGCTGTTTTTCAGCAAGTTATTCTGCAATAAGCATTCATACTGCATTTTTGCAGGAACTGCAATTTCTCTAGTTTTATTTTCTTATCAGCTACTATAGGAAAAACAAAAAAAGATGTGTCTTAATAATTAAACACATGTTGTTTAAATGAAATGTTTGGGCCAATCTAACAAAGCTAAAAGGCTCACCTTTTGGTCTGAACTCCAGAGTGACAGAAGTGATTGGACAGCCCCCACTCACCCAGCCCAGCAGGTTGAGGCGGGCATGGCTGGAGTTCAGGTAGGTGAAGACGGGTTGGTCTTTGTTGAACTGGGGTTCTGAAAAACAAAATTTATGACATCTGTCCACAAATTGTCAGATTTCCAAATAATCACACTCTCAAACTGTTGAAACTAAAATCAACTGGAAACATGTCAGTGGTGAAATAAGTATTTTTATTTTTTTTTAAACCTTTGAACAAGTACCACTAAATACTTTATACAACATGAAAAGTTTTATAGTCAAGGATAAAAAAAAATTGAGGTAAAAAACACTCGTTTCCTCTGACTGATTTTGGCTGAATATAACATTGGTGCATTTTCTATCTGTGAACACATCAGTCTGTTAGCAGCACTGATAAAGGTGGAGTTAGTTAAAACTTCGGTAAATACATTTGTATAAATTAAGTTGTCAGTGAAAGCTATTGTCATATCAAACCAAATCATTAGAGCACCAAAACTAATTATTTAGAGGGCTAAAATATTATTTTGTTGGCTATAAAAGTTTCCAGTGATTTCTTTTTATTTAATTTTGCTTTGAATTTATTGAATTTGTTTGTTGTTTTTTAGTTCATTTCCTGTTTAAATTTGAAAACGTAGTTTGATTGTTGTTTTTCAGTTTGACGTCTTGAATTATGAGTAAAACTGGGTTTCACTTATATCTCAAGTCATAATGTTAGGCTGATTGGTAACTCTAAATTGTTTCTAGGTGCGAGTCATAGAGTGAATGGTTGTTTGTCTTATTTGTCTCTGTGTCCCTGTGATGGACTGGAGACCTGTCCAGGGTGTCCCCCGCCCCTTGCACAGTGACTGCTGGATATGGACACCAGTGACCCTCACACCCAGAAAAGGAAGAAGTGGGTAAAGATGATAGATGGATGGACCGACCTATCATCACTTTTTATGAGCAAGTATATGAAATTTTGACGTCAGGACCATTAAAATACTTCTGACCATTTGAGTCAAAATTCTAACTTTGAAGAATACTTCTGAGTACAATTTGAACACAGTATTACTCACATCTGTTTTTAATTTGTCATTTCATTTATTGGTATTTGTAAATGATTTTTGATAAAGTTTTATCACATCTTCTGTTCATGTCCTACCAGCCGGTCAAAGCAGATGGCCGCTTGTCCTGAGCCTGGTTCTGCTGGAGGTTTCTTCCTGTTAAAAGGGAGTTTTCCTTTCCACTGTTGCCACTGTGCTTGCTCAGGATGGGAGACTGCAATGAAGCCAAGATTCAACTTGTCTGCTGGATTCCTTAGATAGAGAACTTTACTAATTGTCTTTTATGTATGTAAATGTTTCTGTAAAGTGACCTGAGACAACTTTGTTGTGATTTGGCGCTATATAAATTAAATTGAATTGAATTGAAATTGAATGTCATGCTCTTGTTACTTTTGAACGGAATAAGATTGTGCTTAGTTAAAGTATTTTTGCACCAGATTATCAGGCGCAATATCAATAAACATGTCTGTTTTCATACATAAGGCTCACTGTCAATTTTTGAGAAAATTAAAGGAATTTAAGTGAGCCTTTTTATTCCAAAAATCCAGTATTCTCTATCCTGAGCCTGGCTCCTGCATTTGGATCCTTCAGTAACGGTTCACTTCAAAATATCTACTAAAATGTCCAAAACAAAATTGCAAAAGTGCAACAAACAATCTAAAGTTTGGGGTGAGTAAAAACGCCCGTTGTCATAAAAAAATAAAAGTTCAGAATTAATTAAATATAATTATGATTTATTCACATAATTTCAGATAATATAAAAGTACAAGTGATGGATGACATGATGTTTCTAGAAATACTTTTTTCACTTTGAATGGAAGATTGGTCACTGTGTTCTTAAACAGTAAAAGTAAACAAAACGTTAAAAACGTGCATCTTCTTATATAAATAAATACAACACATTTATAAAGTATGAGATCATTCTAGATCTAAAGTTCTGTATGCATTTAGATGATTTTGCATATGTACTGTAACGTGTAACGATTGAACGTGTAACAGAGCTCTTGGTTATTCAAAGAACAGATTTCAGTCCGTTTTGCTTGTTGTTTTGCGATTTATATACATTGTTTATTTGTATTTACCCAGAAAAATTAGATAATTCTTCTGTTCAACCTTCTTACCTCTCCCATGAGTCTTTGCCTCGATGATCTCACTGATGCGACCAGCACCGACGCTGTTCTTGGCAGCCAACTTCACTTTATACCAGGTCCCGCATCGTAGGTTGTCCAGTTTAAAAGAGCGCTCGCTAGAACTGATGAAAACATCCTTCCATTCCTCTGTATTGTCCACAGAGTACTGCAGAACAAAACCTGCATAAAAGAAAGGCATTTTAATTTAAAACAGAAGCCCTTCCAAACTATAGCTGTAACTCTGCTTTCCACTAGATGGTAGTGAAAGGTAGTGCTTTTTCTCCCCCAGTGATGCTTCAGTGGGATGACAGTCTTGCTGCTCTCCATCTATGCTGCAAATAATTACCTACAAGCCCAAAGCCTGGGATGGCGCTGACTGAGCATCTATGCAAATGAGGGTTTGCAATATGGTGACTGTTTATATATTCAGCTTCCTCTGAGAGCCAGCTCCATCCTGCTCTCAGGATCTTTCCATCTAAATTTCTGTCTGCCTTTCCTCCTGTTTGTACGCAGTTATGCATACACGAATGCGTCTCTCCCTGTGTTTCTTTGTACTGTTCTTATTTTTTTACTCCTACGTTTCACTCTGACATACAGTGTGACAGAATCCACTAATGAAACTTTGATGGGTTACCACATGCAGACTAAGCATGTGGTCAGTTTCAGACCAGAGCAACACAATAAGAGGTTATTGTAGAACTAATTTAAAAGGTAAAACATTGGTTTTATGTGTTTTGGATTGTTAGATTACCGTATCATTATCCATATTTGGGAATTTTCATTTTTATTCTTAAAGCTGAAAGATAGAACTTGCGACAAGCTTAGTGGGTACAGATGCCACTTTAGAAAGAGTGCAAAGGGATGAAGGGAAACTTCAGCATTGCCTGCTGCAGGCATTGCACAGATGGCCTCACAAACAGGCAGGCGTTCTGATAATCACACAAGATATACAGACAGGATTTATCCATATATGAGGCACAGAATGATGTATGCAAATATAAGTTGGTGGAGCATCAGTATTTGAATGCAAAGCTGCACATCCAGCATGCTGTTACTGCTTTCCATTTGCATGAGCATAATGAAAAACAAGCATTTCTTTGGTCTTTTGGGGGCAAATTTATTAGTGACATGGGCAAAAGATAAACTTCCGGGTCAGTTTTAGGCTTTAAAATGTTAGTTTTTTTTTTGCTGGTTTTCTTTTTACTGTAGCAGAAAATAAAACTATAACATCAGGTATACTTTGAACACTAAAATCTAAATATGTCTGCTGCTTGATTATGTCATTTAGATTTAAAGAGCAGCAAGGAATCAGATGGATGACTCTGCAACATCCCCAGAGGACAACAATAAAAGGGTTATAGGTGCAGGAAATACATCTGCATACATGTTCATCCAGACACACACACTATGGATATCACACACAGAGATCACCAATAGTCAGACAGTCAGAGACATGCAATCAACAGGGAAATGTAAAACAAGGATTCCATTCAATAATCTAATAGATCAGGATGGACACTGGTAATAAGGCAGGTAAAAGACACATCAAAGGTAGACAGGAGGGAAACAAGGACTTGACAGAGCTGCAGATAAAAGGAATATAATGCAAGAATAGGGGTAAATACAAAGAAACAGAGCTTTTTGATAACTTACCTCTGATAGAACTGCCTCCATTATCTCCTGGTATCCAGGCAAGGGTGATGGAGGAGGTGGAGGTGGTGGACACGGTTAGACGAGGTTGATCTGGAGGAACTGAGACAAAGACATAAAGAGTTGACTCGAACACCTGTTCCTCAAAATACTGAACACATTATCTTTTAAAGTTCTGACATACCTTGCACCAAAAGGTTAACTATAATGGTGTCAAAGCCCAACGTGTTGGTGGCCGTGCAGGTGTAATAACCAGAGTCTTCAGCTTTGACGGAGCGCAGCACCAGTGTCCCATTAGCCAGAATAAGACGCTGTCCATCCAGAGACACAGGGATTGCTGTATCCTCACTAACAGAAAATAATTTAGAAATTGTCATCAAAAGAGAGAAAAATCAATAATTTGTCTAAATGTTGCACAATAGAAACATCTTGCTGCAGCCAAACCATTGTTTATCAGACATGTATTTTCATTAGCATGCCAAGTTAATTTTAAAAACATTTCTGGACCAGGTTCTCACCTATCTTTGGTCCATTTTATGGTTGGTGTTGGTTCACCCACAGAACTGCAGGGTAGCCGCACCTCTTTTACCCAAGGAGTTGTAACTGTACCTCCAAATGACAGGATTTTGGCGGGAGCTGTTGGAGGAGAGAAAGAGGAAAAACTAAAATATGTACAAAGGCAGCAAAATTATTTAAAGAAACTCAGCGTAAGCTTATAAAACCAAGCGGTATGCTGATGTCCCCCGCCGTTGAAGAACTTGAAGAACTTGAAGAACTTGAATAGTGAATGTTTGTAGATTTTGACGAGTGTTTTGCTGGACTGGATTTGAACAGGGAAATTAAGTAAACTTTAATAATTTTGGTGCAAGATTTCCAAGTTACACTATGTGTAGGAAGAGAGGATGTTTTTTTAGTCAGCTAACAAAATTACCATATGCTGGCGTACACGTCGCACCGCCTTATAAGTCGCATCAGTCCAAATATGTCTAATAAAGTGGAAAAGTCCATAACGTGTTGGTTCGCCATATAAGTCGCATCTATTACACGTCACCGCTGATGCGTCGTGTTTGTTACGTGTCACCGCTGACAACCCAGAAATGTGGGCCAAACCCAGAAATGTGGGATAATGTTGTGCCAAAAATCCATGGGCTGCCAAATGGCGGCCACGGGAGCGTGCATGGGAGGGACAAGCCTCTGCACATTTCTTCGAAATTTAACAAGATGACCAGATAAACAATTCAACAATTTTCAGTCAGGTCATCTGGACAGTTTTTTTTTTTTTTTTCTGAAACGTTTCACCTTCATCCAGAAGGCTTCATCAGTCAAGGAAACACACAACACAAAACTGATTCTTCCCCCAAACAGCTTACTCCAAAGTGGAACAAACCAGTTATGTTGGTGCTAAGATGGCGTCTTTGGCACGCCCCCTCCTCTGGAGCCAGCCCTCTTCCTCGTGACAGTAATGTCAAACTGGTTCAAAACCAAAAAAGTCCATGCTCAATAATCCAGGTATACAATCCAACAATTTTCAGTCAGGTCATCTGGACAGTTTCTTTTTTTTTGCTGAAACGTTTCACTTTCCATCCAGAAGGCTTCATCAGTCAAGAAAACTCAACACAAAACTGATTCTTCCCCCAAACAGACCTGACTGAAAATTGTTGGATTGTATACCTGGATTATTGAGCATGGACTTTTTTGGTCACCTAAACAATTATTTGTTTGCTTGACTTTATAGTAAAGGTGTGTCTCACTTGAACTTTTACTTAATAAATGCACTTCGATGGTCAAATTAGCAGCAATTCGCCAGGGCAGTACAACAAAATGCAACTGATTCGATTGCTCCAGGCAGACGACGGAGGCAAGCTAAGGCAAGCCAATTGTGTCATTAATAGCCAATTTTACCTCATACATGATGTCTAGTGGCTGAAAATGATATTGTTCAATATTTTCAGTGAGAATGAATGAAAATCGTCATATCTCAGCCAAAAATTGGTTTATAAATATGGGGAAAAAAATTCATAAATACATTGCTTCAGCCTGTAAGTCATGGCATGGGAATGCAAATTATAGGCTGACAAATATGGTACATGTGACAAGACGTGCTTGGTCAATGCAGCAGCAGCAAGCTGAAGGCAGACCATCCGCTTACTACATGTTCACGTGACAAGATGTGATTGGTCAACACAGCTTCAACTGGAAGGAGGCAAAGACGTGTGATGCAGACTGAGTGGCTGTTGTCTGAGCGGTTAGCAATTTAGCGCCAGCTTTTTAAAAATTTAATTTAATTTTAATTTTAATCTGTTTAGAGGTTTGGCATTAGATTCTGCAAACTTTTTTAGTTAGCAGAATATGGGTTAGATTAAATAAAAAAAAAAAAATAAAAAAAAATATATATATATATATATATATATATATACATACGTATATATCTATAGATATAGATGGATAGATGGATAGATGGATAAATGAATAGATAGATAGATAGATAGATAGATAGATAGATAGATAGATAGATAGATAGATAGATAGATAGATAGATAGATAGATAGATAGATAGATAGATAGACTTTTAATAGCCATATGCCAACATGAAACTTAGTACTTCACTTATGTTTCATGTTAATTAGCTGACAAGAAGGATGGACGGACAGAGGGAGGGTATTTCTAAGTCCCCTCATTACTCTGTGATGGGGGATAACATAGAACCCAATAAAAGCAGAAGAGTAGCCTAATTAAAATGCTCTAATTGGTTAATCTTGAACAACTGTTTAGATTGTTTCGAATCAATACATTCTGGTCATAAATATTCAAGTAGAAATTACTTTTCCTTTCCTTTCCTTCAATAAGCTAGGTTAGGTGCAATGAAAAAGTATTGTATTTTTCAGAGTCACAGGACAAGAAAAATCAGTAAAAACAAGCACGAGAGGATCGGAGAAAAAGAGCAGAGAGCATATAAAAAATATTTATTCATTCAGTCACAAAACCTTTTTTCCTGCGGCTCCTCACCACCTGCTTTCTTTTTTCCATTTCACTTGGTGTCTTTATGCCTGCGCTCTAGTGCACTTATGTTAAGGTTGAATGAAGTATTGAGTGGGCAAACCTGGAGGACACGAGCTTTTTACAGCCGCTGATCAGATGAGGCAGACACCTCTACGAGCACGCTAACGAACCTTTGCACTCAGAAGTCAATGGAATGAACAAATAAGGAAAAGGATAATGTGGCAATACGATGAAGGTGCACGCTTTTCATTTGTATTCCTCTATTCTCCCTTTCATTACGGAGTCTATTGATTTGCTGGGACTACCACTCTTGTTTTTTTTAAATACTCTGCCTCTTTATTGTGCTGCTCTGTTGTTTGCTCTACTGCTGTTGTGTCATTTTCTCTTTCCCTTCTCACTCCACCTGCTAGCTTTGCTTTTGCTTCCCTTTTATCATTTTCTCTGACTGGAGGCATTTTATCAGGTGCACTTTGAACTCAAAAATCAATAACACACATCTGTACAGTCTAAACAGGCAGTACAACTGAGGGTAAAACTAGTAGAAACTAAGGTAACGTAAAGCTGGTGACAATATGAAAACGAAAGGCAACATTTAAAAACACCAGTGACAATACGAGGTTTGTAGAGTGAATAAGATAGAAGATGTGTTTTTAAAAAATGCATTAAAAAATATCCTGATGCATGCATCCTGATGCATTAAAAAATGTTAGCTTTTACTTGAAAGCTGATTTTTTTTTTCATGTCCAGTTAAAGAAACGATTTTAACAACTTTTCAAAACTTCCTTAAGCCACAAGGGTTTTGCTGAATTAAGCAAAAATATTATTCTTTAATTTGTAAAAAACTGAAGAAGCTGCATACTATGAACTTATTACTTATTGCTTTCAATGACAACTATTAATAGAAAAACAGTGCTTTATAGTATTTTGAAAAAAAGTACATGCCCTTTTTCTCTTTCTTGGTTATCATAATGTTTGAAAAACACCAATAGTCTTGGCTTTTTACTTGATATTTAGTCGAACTTAAAGGTTGTAGATGAATTTAAAAATATCAGGCGGAATAAAGCACTTTCTATTGTTGGAAAAGTGTTTTAGCTAGGGGCTATTCAACTAAATTACTCAGGGGACAACACCAAGAGCTCAGGGGACAGACATCTAGCAGTTTTTGTCTTTAAGTTTGTTTGTTTTATGAGTTAAAATCTAGTTTTGTTTAAAAATTAACCCATTGGTGGGCCGAACTCTGTTCACCTGTGGACCTGATTTAGCCCCCGAGCCACCAGTTGAACAGCCCTGCTTTTGAATAGCCCAGGGATATTCAACTGGTGGCATGGTGGCCAAATCAGGCCAGTGGGTGAACGCAGTTCAGCCCACCAGTGGGTTCATTTTTAAATAAAACTAGATTTTAATCCACAAAACAAACTTAGTGACACTAACTGCTGGATGTCTGTCCCCTGAGCGATTGGCTTTCAGTAACTGTGGCCCCCTGTGCAATTTAGTTGAATAGCCCTGAACTTAAACACTATTTCCAACAATAGTAAGTGTTTTATTCCTCCTAATATTTTTAAATCAGTCATTGACATTCACAGATTATTAGTGTTACAGAAACACAACTCCTGCTTAAAGTTAATTTAACATTAAAGGGCTCACTCACCTTTGGCGGCTGGCTCTACGGTCACTTTGTCACTGAAGTTACCGCGGCCTGCTGTGGTGACAGCTGCAGCCCAGATCAGGTACTGCTGCCGGTGGTTGAGGTGGGTGATTCGGTAAAACAGCAACTCTGGGTTAGCTTCATACTCACTTGGCATCTGGTTAAAAAAAAAAGGGGTAAAGAAAGTGTTAAAATGGAACAAAGTTAATAGAATAATTCTGTTTCCCATTAGTTTAAATACTGCTTGGCTAGTATAAACGAGCCGTTCAGATTTATGACAATAAACTCAAGTATCGCAACACAAGAAATAAATCATATAACCAAATAAATCTAGTTTTGTTTAGAAACAGGTTGATGTGGTGTATTTATAAGCAAAAAGATTGATCAATCTTGCAGTCTTTCTCCTGGGAAAAACACCTCCCGAAAAAGATTGTATTTCTGTCTAATCTTTATGATGATAATCAAACACAACATTGCACACTTGAATAGACACTGTCTCCAAAAATAGCCATGTTTTTATGACATTGGGGGCCATTCGGAACACTGAGACATTGAACTAACCATAGCACTGTTTGTTATTCAAAGTAAATAACACATTAGTTTCATTTGCAATTTTCCAACCTTAATAATTGTCAGCGTGTGATTCAAACTATTCAGCTTCAAGTTCAAGTTCAAGTCAAATTTATTGTCATTCACATCACGTGGTACATGAGGTGGATCGAAATTATGAACTCAGGGTCCCAGTTACATCGAAAAATAGCAAAAATATAAAGTATAACAACAAACAGTATACAAGGATCTAAGGTATACACTAAGATATGCTAAATGAACGCCAAATGGTATACTAAAAGATCTAAGATATACACTAAACACTAATAAAGTAAAAACAATATGGCGTATCACCAGCAGCCTGAATATGAGTCTGTAGTGAGCAGATGGATATAAATTAATACAGCAGTATGAGATAATCTGCAGCATTCATTCAACCTTTATTTGTACAGGCTAATCCCATTGAGCCTAGGGGACTCTTTTAAAAGAGAGACCTGGATGAGCATGAGATAAGCAGCAGCATGAGATAAGCAGCAACATATGATAATCAGCAGCATGAGTCAGCTTCTGACATAAAACAACAAGAGAAACGAGGGGTGACCTTCATTATCACTGGTTTGACAAATCTTTTAATAACAATTGAACACAGGCATATTGACAACACAGACTCAGTATTTTTGTTTTATTTTCTCTGTGTGTGCGTGTGTGTGTGTGTGTGTGTCTGCGCAATGTCTACGTCACTATGTGCTTGTATGTGCGAGGTGTTTTTTTTTTTTTAAATATTAGTTATTCTTCTCAGCCAAGAAGAAAACATTTAATAGGAATTTTTTTGCCTCCAATTCCTACGTGTCCAGTTTCACTACTTTTTCCTCGATCTAAGCAGATCTCACTTGTAAATGAGTCTTGGAGGCTCAGTGTGATTTATCTGTCTAAATAAAGGTCGAATGAATGAATGAAAAATGTGTGCGTGTGCTTATTTATATTACTTTTTGAGGACCATTGTTGAATGCATACTACATTGTGAGGACCAACTGCTCTTTGTGAGGACCAAAGCCCAGTCCTCATAAAGTTCAAGTGTCGTTGGTGGGTCAGGGGTTAGGTTTAGAACCAAGGTGTGAATTGAGTATGGATTAGGTTTAGGATTAGGTATGTACTAATAACAGTGTTGCCAGATAGAGTCAAGGTTTTCCAGCCCAAAATTCTGTTAAAAACCACCACATCACACAAAAATCTGTCCAATTAATATAATGTTACAGTATATTTACTGTTTGAACATGAATACACATCAGTACAAGGTAATTTAACAGTATGTGGCAAAACATAACAATCCAACAACAATCTTCCCGGAGTTCCCAGCAAAATCAGAATGAAAACTACCCAATTGGCAGTAAACTGCCCAATCTAGCAACACTGACTGGTAATGGTTAGATTTAGGGTTACTGGTAATGGTTAAGTTTAGGATAAGGGTCAGGCTTAGGCTACAGAAATGAATGGAAGACCATGCAAAGTCCACATAAAGATGGCAAGACAAACCTGTGTGCATGTGTGTGAACCTGTTACTAAAATATATCTTGCAGAAAGTAATCACTGAATGTGCATCTACAACTGATAATTGTTATTAGTTAAACTGATGCAAGATGGCTGCCGCAGCCAACAAACCTTCAAACACAGAACTGAAAATAACTGTTCATTTCCCAGACAATGGCCTAAAAGTTGGTGGAGTTCAAACTTTGTCATTAAGGGCGGCTGTGGCTGAGGGGTTAGAGCAGTCGTACTCCAATGCAAGAGTTGGGGGTTCGAATCCACCTGCAGTCACATGCCGAAATGTCTCTGGGCAAGACACTGAACCCCTCGTTGCCTCTGATGTGTCCCATCAGTGTTTGAATGTGATCTAAAGCACTCTTTAGAATGATTTGTTCAATTAGCTTTGTAGAAATCGAGTAGAGTGCTGTATGAATGGGTAAATGAGGGCAGATTGTATTTTAAAGCGCTTTGAGTATCTTCATAAGATAGAAAGGTGCTATATAAGTACAGTCCATTTACCTATTTGCAGTCAACTATTTTTGTCTGTTAGTGAATCATCGAATCACTGGACAGACTTTATTGAAACTTTCAGGAAACAGTCACTGGATGTGCCTCTGCAACTTGTTATGATTTGGAGATGACAAGATGAGCTTGATTTATCTAAAACAAGTGCTGCTTTCCTTTTTAATGCTGAGGAATTAAATGGAAAACGCAATGAGATTGAAGGTAAAGTGGTTTTTAGGGACACGTTATAATATTATGGACCAAAACTGTGTGGACATACGATGCAACAGAAGGGGAGGAGAAATAGGTGATGCTGAATGAAAAAGAAAAGAGAAGATTGGACAGGGTGGGGGGTAAAGAACGGCTCAATCCCTACCCTCCTCATCCTTTTGCAAGGAGGACAAAAGGAGATACGAGAGAGGAAGACAACAGCAAACTGACAAATGAGTCAGTCACAGATATCAGTCGCATCTACAGCAGGCTTCGGTGATGGAGGCGAGGAGTGCCACACAAACACACAGAGGGTAAAAAAAAGACTCAAACTACTGCACACCAATACACACGCATGGATGCACTGACACACACTGGCACACACACACACAGAGTGGCATACATGACCTGAAGGTGGATGTGTAATTGCAGTGTGTTTAACCCAGCCATGTGTCTGCTGTCTAGACATGTTCGCATCACTGTCCCCCTCAAAACACACACAGAAATGCACACACTCACAGAAAGAATCACTCTTTTTTTTCTTCCTGACACTCACTTTTCGCCTAACCACCAATTATACCTGTATTTCTTCAACTCCTACTCTACACCTACACTTCAGGTGTCTCAGCAGCCTCCAAGAGGACACACACACACATACACAGCGTCCACATGCACAAACACACCCTTCATCCTAGGCTACTCTTTTTCTTGCTGTGCTTTCAACTATAAATAGAGTAATAAAAAGAAAGCGCCATCACAAATGTAGCACCGGAACCACTCCACATTTTCCACCAGCCTCCTAAATCACTTTGTACTACACCTCGGTGGTTCAACACTGAGTCACATTTCTAAAAGACACCAGATTTTTTTTTGCACAGATGAAATTAGCGTTGTGACGCACAAGTCAAAAGGTCAGAGTCAGAATACATGTCAGCCATGTAAAACCTATGTGAAACTTAGTTGCTAAACTCTGTTTCTTTCTGCTGGGCTGTTTTCAGCTCAGTGCTTTAAATAGATCCCAGTAGTCCTGTTAATTGTCATCAATCTTTTTTTTTTTAAATCTGGTGTTTTTTTTTCCTCTAACTTTCCCATTATCCCCTTTTCTCTTTCCTTAGCACTTTTCACTTAATTCCACATCCATTTTCCATATTGTTTCCTTTCCTTATGCACCGTTCATCCATTTCTTCCTGTCACCTCTTTCTCCTGTCGTCTGTGGGCCCACTGCTCGCTTTTCGCTGCACCTTGCCGCCAGTAACACCCTCACTTTCTCAACCGTCTCTGTATTTTTCCTCCTTACTTTTAAACACACATAAAAACCTTCCTCTGCACATTTGCCCCCCATCTTCTTCACTGCAAGCGGAGGTATAGACGGAGGGTAGGACAGATGGATGGAGGAATGATTGTACTGTATGGGTGGGGAGATCTCTTGTAGGAAGGAGTGACAGAGCGTGTGTGTTGATGTAACGGATATTAAAATATTCCTCCGGCGTGGAGATAGCGGTGATCCGGGGAACGATAGAGCGAGATAATGAAAAGAGGAACAAAAGTACTCCCTGTGCGGAGTGTTTGACCCCCCTCCATCCCTCCTTCCCTCTCTCCAGTTGCACTCATTTACATAGTAATCATCCCAAACTCTGCATGGGGGCTTCACAGAGAGACGAGCGAGAGAGAGACTGAAAGAAAGAGATAGATGATGGGTAGATGCGCAAGACATAAAGAGTGATTCGTGAGTGAGGCAGCCTCAGAACAACATGTATGTGTATTTCTTCAAAGGTCTATATGGTGCATGTGTGTGTGCATGCATGTGTATGAAAGCAGGATATGGCTCTTGCTTTTGAATTCACACAGTCAGAAAAACATTAGTTGCATGCTGTGGATGAATGTACCTCTATATTGCTGGAGTGATGCATTTATGAGTGCGTGTGCGTAAAATAGAGAGAGGGAGAGAGTGAGTGTGAGTGTGTGTTTGCTCTCGGCTTGTTTTCCACCCGGGTTGATGAACAGATGAGGTTGTCCTGGCAACGTGATGAGACGCAGATATGTAAATGAGACTGGAGGGTGAGTTTGCACGCACACACACTGCAGTACGAGGAGAGCTCATTTCATACACGTCTTGTTGAGACTGCAGCAATAACCCCTCTCTCTTTCACCCCCACCCTCACACACACATAGAACCCTAACAATACGTAGAACAGAACAGCACGTAATTAGGGAGAATTAGTTATTTCATAGCAACACTTAAAATGTAAAACTAAAAAAATAGTATTTCTGTGGTGAAGAGGTTCTCGTACTCCTCATCACTCAGCCATGTTTAAGTCTAGTCTTCCTCCACCTTAGCTCTCCGTCACACGACTGAAATTCCCAAACTTCGTGCCTCCCTCTTGTGACTCACCGGTTGGCCTGATCCAGGGCTGGAGCAGTAAATTGTGTATTTGCGGATGATTCCATTTGGCTTGTGAGGGGGTAACCATGACACTACGACACTGCTGGCAGAGGAGGGCACAGCTTTGATGCCAGCCGGGGGTCCAGGATCTGAATCATACCAAGGACAAAAATAAGATAAAAAGATTGCAGGCAAAATTGTGAATTGGTTAGATTTTGTTGCATATATTATAAATAAAAATGAGAACTGTGTAGTTGATCTGTGACTTGTGATGATAGTAAATTTAACGTTTGACTAAGCATGCAACTCAAACAGCATTACAGAAGAAAGTTCAAGAAATTTTTGCACAGTTGGATGTTTTACAAGACAAACTTTAGAAATCAAGAAAGCAAAAATCACACATGCAACATACAAAAAACAGGGTCTTCAACTCATGGAATCACTGGTTTTCCTTTATATTGCTGTTTCTAAAACTATCCTCATGGCCACAGAACCATCTCCAGAAATCTCTTCATCCACACAGAAACACCAAAAATGACTCAAAATGTCGTGATGCAATTATTCCAGGCCTGTATGTGGCGCTTCACTTCACCACAAAAATATACCAAAAACAAGTCAAGGCTCCTTAATTTATCTGCAAGTTCCTTAAATAAAATAAAATAACTCGCACAAAGAATTGGCAATTGTTTGTACACCAGATGCCCTTCCTGACGCAACCACAGACCACCGAGCTACCACAGCCCTCTGTGTGGAGAGGAAAGCTGTCATCTGGGGTGCCCGGTGGAGCAGATAGTGGGGATTAGGGCCTTGCTCATGGGCCCAGAGTGGGGCAAATGAGGGTGGAGACAGGTGTGGGTGTTTCATATTTCCCACCCACGTTTTGATTTTGTCAGCACGGGGAGTTGAACCAGTGACCTTCCAGTCACAGGCTCACCCGTGAAGTACTTATTCATGTGAATTCATCTTACTCTCATAGTTATATTCCACCATGTTGTTGTTTACTATATTTATTTTGGACCTTGTAAATATTATATTTACCATATTTTTCACTTTTTGGTACTTTATTTTTGAACCCTTATTGCATGCTTTAGTTTTTTTTTTTGTTAGTCAAAATCAATTCTTCTCAATCCTGAACATTTCATTGCATTGGTGACCCTGTATTAACCTACATATGACAAATAAACAACATAACATAACATAACCTCTGCGCTGTCACTCCCACATTTGACAGCTCCATGATGAACACCCAAAAACCACTATATGATGATCCGACTGTGGTAAATTCCTGGCAGATACTGCACAATTACTAAAATGACCAAAAACACTTAGCTGTAACTTCACCTTGAAACTGACTCTATGGGCGTTTTCACACCTGATAGCCCAGTAGGCTCGGTTCGATTGGGGACCAAAATTCAGAACGTTTGTTTACATTTTCAGCTGGTGCGGTTTACATTCACACTGCACTGAGTCAATCGAGCCAACCTGTCCCCCCCATCCCCTCGCCTGTGGTGGTGCTGCACCAAGAACTACTGAAGGAAACAACAAGAAAACCTCTGAAGAAGACACTTCTTCTGGAAATAAAAACAAAGACGGAGTGGTGTCAAATTTTAGCAGTTTTAGGATTTCTGTTCGGTCATTTTTCAACAATGGACTCAGCATGACCGGAAGATGAGGCAGAAGACCATGGAGAATGTTGTTTTTCACACAAGGCAGCTGACGGCTTCGTATGAGGTAAGAGAAATGCACGTTTGTTTGCCCTGCCCTGTAGTCCACTTCCTGTTTTTAGAGTAGTCTCTGGTCTGCTTGCATTCACACTGCACCTGAACCACGCCAGAGTTCACTTTAACCGAACCGAGACCTTCGCTTTTTTGATCTGCATCAGAGTTAAACTGCACATTCACAACTCCCCCAAATGAACCGGACTTTCTAGGCAAACAGACTAGAGTTCGATTAAAGCAGACTAAACTGTGCTGGTGCGAATGCTCCCTATAAGTCATTTTTAATCATTGCAAATGTCTTTTTGTCACATTTTTAAACTTGGTTTTCCTCATATGCTTTTATGTTTTCAACAGTTTACATTAGTTTAATTTGATTAACCCAGCATATTCACTAAAATTTGTTTAAAAAAATGGGTGTCCAGAAAGAATGCCTGTGTTAATGAGTCTTATGCTTACTGTCTCGTGTGTTTGCAAATCAAAAACAGGCATAAAATGGCTGAATGAGAAGTGGCTGTTTGCACAGTTACACTGCTAACATTTTCCCACATTTTGCACAGACAGAACCCAGGGCAGAGGGAAGAGTTAGACCGAGGGAGACAGACAACGTTTGTAGAGAGGTTGCCCCTGGACACAGTGTCAACTTGCATCAGGGGTTAAAAGACAGACTCAGACAGACACACACTCACAGATTAGGAAAACATGTATCTGAAGAGCCACTGCACTAAGGGCAGCACATAAAAATGGAGATACGGTGAGGAGGAGAGAATAAAGGCCTTTTCTGAAATGACACTTCTTAGACTCTCTGCTCCCCCTCTCTCTTGTGCTCCCTCATTTTCTCCATCTTGAGACGCCCGCCTCCTTCTCTGACTGGCCCCAGGGAAGGAGAGAAGAGGCGGATATGGATGTAATCCACAGCCCGCCAGTGTAAGCACAAAATTAATTCTCTCTAAGCCACAAAGAATTAATCCCCTTCCTTGTGCTGGGCTGTGAGCTAGACTTGCACACAAACAATAACACGTGCACACACGCATGCAGTTGTACATGCACACCAACGCAAAGACATGCTCGAATGCAAAGAGACTCTTAACACACACTTCCACATACTCACACGCAGACGGACACCCTTAGGGTTCTTAACCGCGTGCACACACACACACTTTTTGGCTTCCTAATTCTCATTAGCACTGGTAATGGCACATCAGAGCACAAAGAGGTTGTTAATCAGCAACCTCAGCCTTACAAAGACCCCCTCTACACCCGCTGGCTCTCTGCCTCCCACACTGCTGCCTAAACTGAGGTAAAATCCTGAAAGTTGCCCCAACGATATAGTTAAAGCAAGTGAAACATTATTGAAGGTCATTTAAGTACTTTTTTATTAGAAACAACAAATAAAATATGGACTTACAATCTTCCCGGGTTTGAATGTACAGAACGTTGCTCCTGACACCATCTCCTGCCTGGGTGAAGGCCAAGACCTGGATGCTGTAGTTAGTAAACTTCTCCAGGCCTTTAAGCTCCACCTGCTCTTTGATGGTGGTAATGTTTTGCATTTCACCCCACTCTGACAAGACAAGGTAAGAAGTTCAGGCTAAGGTCTTTGGATAACAGTTTAGGATGAGCAAAGGATAAAAAAAGGGGGTACCTCCATCTGGGAAGACGGCCCAAAACACGACACGATATCCCTTCAGTACGCCGTGGAGAGTCAGCCTTGGAGGCTCAGCCCATGTGATCACAGCCTCATCTGATGTTACAGAAATGGCTCGCACGTTCTGAGGAGGCTGACTGGGCACTAAGAACATACAAATAAATGCTTAATTTATGTGAATCATGCACTTCTAAATATCTCACCATTAAGTACTTCAAAGTTTGATTTAAAAGAAAAGATCTGTTCAATGAAAAAATGTAAACATTACAACTTTTTTCCAGCTTTTCTATAAAAAGTGCATATGAAGGTAACAAAATAGGTAAAACGGGCCAAACGATACTGACTGGAATACTTGTCAATTCAACTCAGTTTATTTAAATAGCGCTAAGTCACAACAGAAGTCATCTCAGGGCACTGAACAGAAACATTCATATATAAAAATAATAAGTTAACAAAAACAGTCATAAAAATAATAATTTAACATTATTTATCTGAGGAACAGACTGCTTTGAATTTAACTCCATCACAGACTCTCAGCTTGAGCAAGCATGAAGGCAACAGTGGAAAGGAAAAACTCCCTCATGAGGAAGAAACTTTTAGCAGAACCAGGCTCAGGACAAGCGTCCATCTGCTTCAACCGGCTGGGTTTGAGAGGAACAGATACGTGATTTTCTACATGTGTACTCTTATTCATTTTTCCAGTGTTTTTTGAGCAGCCATTTAAGGATCCAGTTAGAATCTACTGGGAGACCACCAATGCAATTAAAACCAAGAACCAATAATTAACCTGATAATAATATACAGTCATTATGGGATCAATCCATTATATGAGTTCCAAAGTATAACCAATGTTAACATTGAACTGTCGGGCTGTCTCTGTGTGCCTGTTTATGTCTCAGGTTGGGTTTTGGGTGGCCCCCCTCTCTAGAACCAGTTTTGGCCCCCCATTTGGTGGGTCGTGCTCCCCTCTGGTGGTGGGCCCCCCTGCCGCTGGTGCATTGGCGGCTCTCAGCAGCTGGGGCTGGGTGGTGGGGTGTGTGCGGGCCCGCCCTGGTGGCTGCCTGCGGGGGCCTGGGTGCCCTGGCTCTGTCGGGCCTCTGTTGGGGGGTGATATGACCTCGGGACTCAGGGCTCGGTGTCCATGGCCGGATCCACTCTCGAGGGGCGGGTTGCCTGCGGGGCCTGTGGACTCGTCGCTGCAGACTCCTGGGGTTTCTGCATTGTGGTTGCTGGGGATCGCCCGGGACTTCCCTTTGCTTCTCTCTCTGGGGGGTGCGGGTGTCTCTGTTGGGGGACTCCCGGAGTTCCGGGCCGCTGTGTGTCTGTGGTTCCGGTCTTCCCTGTGTTACCATCGTGTCCTGTGGAGACGGGTCTGTGGGTCCCCACATCCACTATTGAACAATTTATGGAGAAACCTTAGAGACAGGCATGCTCACACAGGTGTTTAGATTCAGGTGTTTATCAGATACACTCAGATGGGTTGTGGTGGCCACTAAATATATCTTGTATTACCATGTACTGTATAAAATAATTTATAATGATTTTATAAGTATCATTATATATGTTGTTTGTTGTTGTGGTTTCTCGGTTTTGTCTTGTCTTTTTTTTTCCCCGCAGGTCTAGAGGCAGACTTCAACGATGTCGATTTGTGTTCTCTTTATCCCTCTCTCTCTCCTCTATTCCTAGCTCCTTCTTTACCTTTTAACCCTTCTCTCACTTTTTTGCTTTATCGTGTTTGTTTTTCATCCCCATGTCCATTACATCTGAAACAAGCCCAAAGCAAATTCTATCCATCCATCCATCCATCCATTATCTTTACCCGTTTATTCCATTTTGGGTCACAGGGGTTGCTGGTGCCCATGTCCAGCAATCACTGTGCGAGGGGCGGGGTACACCCTGGACGGGTCGCAGGTCCATCACAGGGACACATAGAGACAAACGAGACAAACAACCATTCACTCTCTCACTCACACCTAGGGACAATTTAGAGTTACCAATCAGCCTAACATGCATGTTTTTGGTCTGTGGGAGGAAACCGGAGTACCCGGAGAAAACCCACGCATGCACGGAGAGAACATGCAAACTCCACCCAGAAAGGCCCCCGGACCGGGATTTGAACCAGGGACCTGCTCGCTGAGAGGCAGCAGCTCTACCAGTTGCGCCACCGTGCTGCCCAAGCAAATTCTAATAAAATTTAATTTATATATCAAGTGGAGCATTAAGGCCAGCCATAATGCTCTGCTTGTGAAAGTAAATGTGTTGGGCATCACTTTGACACTCAGACAATAATTCTGTGTCACAATGCCGGACAGGACAAGGGGGAAAAACTAAGAAAAAAATCCTTACTTTTATACTTATGAACCGTCCTTTACCCATCTATTCATCAGCATTGGTGCTACAGTGTGTACTCTGGACAGGTCATTAGACCATCCAGGGCCAACACAAAAACAAATATTACTAAAGATGTATATACTTTTATTTTTTATCTTGATATTATAACGTGGGATCCTATAACATTTTAAACAACAGTAAGCTTATTTGCAATAAGCTCTTTTTAAATGATTTCAGTATGTAGAAAAAGTTTGTTTCTGACCAAACCATTAAGCAGAAATGTTCTTTTAAAATGGCAGAAATCCACTTTGGTCTGGGTCCCACTTTGATTGTTAATTCATTATTTATTAAAAAGTAAAATCCAAGTTGAGGTCATTCAACAAGGTATCTTTCTACAACAAGTACGATATTTATTACTTGATCACCAATAACACAGAATCTAGATGGTTGCTTTAAAACCCATCATGCCTCTCTGGTCTAATAAATCTGTGAGAGAAAACTCACAAAACATATTCCTTTGTGAATTTGACACTAAGCTAAACAAGTTATATGAAATGTTTATGATTTAAGATGCCCTTTTTTAAAGTATGAATTCAGCAAAGTTGAGTGCAACTGCATCTCCTCCAGGAGTCTGAATAAAATTTTACAAGCTTGAGTAAATCATCAAATGACTGAACATACAGTTAGTTAAAAAGTTATTTGGTCTAAATTGTTTTGGGTCCTTGAGAAAAACAATAAGTGATAAATCTGTCAAATACACTGAAAAATGTCCACATCAAACATAAAGCGGCTATACGTTCCGGGGAAAGATAAAACCCTAACGCCTCGCCTCTACTTTTATATTTAGGATCATCTCTCTGTCTGTACAGGCCTTTCTCTGTCTCCATCAGTCCAGGTGCGTTTGCTATTGGCTGCCACTGACCATTACTCATTGAAGGTCTGAATAACGCCCACTGTTAAAGATGAACAGAAGTCAACTTGTGAGAGAAGTAAGGGCAGGAAGGGAGGAAGAGAGCTGACTGAAAGACGGCGTGCAATGAAAGAGAGAGACTGGGCCAAGTCCACGAGAACATTTCTCTGCAGCTGGTGAAGAGAAAAGGGGTGGGGATGAAGATAGAGGAAGGGACGAAAACCAAAAAACTAAATTGGGGCTTTGAAATACCAGACCTTAGAATCTAATGCTAAATAACGAAAAGACAACAAAACATAGTTCTTCAAAAGAATCAACAAAAGAAAAAAAAAACATAAAGATTATCTGTATTTTGGACTCGTAGTTTAAAAAGAAACAAAAATGATTGAAGGCCATTTTAAACTAAAGTAGTAAGAAAAATTAGATAGAGATTACAGGCAGGAGAAGAAGGAGAACTGAGGAAGAGAGTTAAAAGCAAAAGGGAGCAAGGGAAAGGCAGAGAAAGATGAAAAGAGGGAGTGGGGGAGACAATGCGCTCAGCTGTGGATAATTACAGCAGGAAGCCAGGAGAGGGAAAGAGAGACAGACAGACAGAGAGACAAGCTAATTATAATTATTTTTAGTATGCTTGTTGTTATCACTATTATCATAATGGCCATCAATATCACTGTCACCACGGTGACAACCACAGGAAAGAACTGGAGGGCTTTGTCTCCTCTGGACCAATGAGGCTCAGCCAACTGTTTAATGGGTGGACAAGTATGCATTCAATGCACTTTGTCATGTGTGCATGTGCATGGCTTTATTATACTGAACAGAAATATAAATGCAACACTTTTGTTTATGCTCACATTTTTCTGGAGCTGAACTAAAGATCGAAGACTTTTTCTATGTACACAAAAGGCCTTTGTGTCAAACATTGTTCACATATTTGTGTAAATCTGTGTTGGTGAGCACTTTTTCTATGACAAGATTATCCATCCCCCTCCCAGGTGTGGCATATCTAGATGCTGATTAGACAGCTTGATTGTTGCACAGGTGTGTCTTAGGCTGACCACAATAAAAGGCCACTCTGAAATGTGCTGTTTTATCTCACAGCACAATGCCACAAAAATTGCGAGTTTTGAGGGAGTGTGCAATTTGCATGCTGAGTGCAGGAATGTCCACCAGAGCAGTTGTTGGTAAATCTATGGCATATGTGTCAAACTCAAGGCCCGGGGCCAAATGTGGCCCTTGTTGACATCTTCTCTGGACCCCAAGATGATATTTTAAATGTAAAATACTTTTATCACTCTATTTTTTTCAGTAATCTTTGATTATGATGTCAAAAGTGCAACAGAAAATGTCAAATGAGACCAATCAAACTCTTGTTGAGGAACCTGCAACCAAAAAAAGATGTTGGATATCTGATTGAGTTAATGTAGATTTTGAAACTGGCCCATAGTATGAAAAAAGTTTTAATTTTGGCCCCCTTTTGTAAGTGGGTTTGACACCCCTGATCTATCTATGTTATCTATCTACAGCATCCATCCATCCATCCATCCATCCATCCATCCATCCATCCATCCATCCATCCATCCATCCATCCATCCATCCATCCATCTATCTATCTATCTATCTATCTATCTATCTATCTATCTATCTATCTATCTATCTATCTATCTATCTATCTATCTATCTATCTATCTATCTATCTATCTATCTATCTATCTATCTATCTATCTATCTATCTATCTATCTATCTATCTATCTATCTATCTATCTATCTATCTATCCATCCATCCATCCATCTACGGTGTCTGTATGTCTGTCTGTCTGTATGTCTGTCTAATTGATGTCTATGGGAAGCATTTTTAAGTAAAATAATTATTCGAGCTGACTGAATGTTTTGTTGAAAACTAAAGGTCACTATGTGAAAAAGAAACACAAACATCCCATGACTGCCATTTGTTCTGAGCATTTTTAATGCATTCTGACATGACAGATGCAGTTTAAAGCTTTTCAAACTAACACATGTAACATTTTTAAGCTTTAGGCATTCAATCGTTCATCTATTCACTTAGTCAGCAAAATTTTAATTTCTGCCCCAGAATCAGGTGATGAGGCAGCAACTTCACACATATCTATTGAGGCAACTCGATTGTCTGCCCTGCCCGGTGTCTATGAGACTATCTATGCCCTTAGAATAAAAGAAGCATTTGGATTCCAGCAGCAATCACTCGTTGTTGTTCAGAGAACAAAGAGTTTGTGGTAATTGTAAGTTACAAAGCTCGGCGTGATTTGACAGAGACCAGATAGTGAGAAAGAAAAAAGAACAATGCTAGAGAGCAAGTGAATTAAACGTGAATCAGACAAAAAAGGAGACAAAAGGTGATATTTCAAAGGACTGACAGTTTTTACCTCCACTGCTTGCGATGTTTCTGTAACCTTTTCTATTACAACTACATTTTTCAGTGAGACATTATATTTTAACTGATGAATAGACCAATAAAGCCTCGTATCACACATCCTGGGAAGTTATTCAATACAATACTCACCATCTTCCAGTGTTGTAGCATTGATCTCGGAGCTTGAAGGTCCGGTGCCTGCTCTGTTGAAGGCCTGGACAACCACGCCGTACTGAGCAAACTTCTTCAGGTTGTCGAGAGTGTAGACCTCACTGTCTCCAGTGGCTTTCATCTCAACAATGCTGTACTGGCCGTTACTTCCTGGGCCGTTCTCTCTGTAACCGATCTGGTAACCCCGGATCACCCCGTTCTGCAGCTCCTTCCTTGGAGCCTAAAAAGTTACAGCACATGAAAAGACCGATCACTTAAAGTAACTGTTCATGTTTGTATAGCACACTCAGGCTTCAAGTCAATAAAAAAGGTGGTTCAAAATTCAATTCAAACCAATTAAAGCTAATTAGTTTATTGTTCAGTATTCAGGAACTCTGAACAAAAATCGCATTTCCAACATAAAAACGTCAATTTTGTATGAGAAGGGTTTTTTTAAGTTTATAAATGTCAGATGTTACCTTGAATGAAATTTTTGCGTTATGATATTACATTTGTTTGATACCTTTTACTGTTTATCTTTTACCTTTTCTAACTCTGTGGTCACATAAACTATTTTATGTGGCAAAATCATTGATAACACTAATCACTTTTTAATTTTTTTGACTGAAGGTAAAAAAAAAAGAAAAACGCCTCTTAACTGCCTAAAATGCGACTCATTTCATAGCCCTTTATTTTCAAACATTGACAGTTTAATGCCTTGCTCTTGTGTAGTCTTGATTATTTCTTTTTTTAACTGTATGTCATCTGGCAAAGCCTCCACTGACGTGAGTGAAGAGGTAAATCAGAGTAAAAATTGGCAAATAATTCAATTTTAGTATGAATTATCCACGTTTGTCCTTCTTTTAAAAGCAGCACCCATTTACTTTAAAAAATGGTCTCACGACTGAGACCAAGTTCACCGTTGTAGACAACAATCTTATTTAGTTTGAAAGGTCAAACGTGTGTGATCTTTTTTATGCACAGAACTGCATTCTTATGCAGTAATTAAATCATATTTACACAATTAACATTCTGAAGAAAAAAAAAGTGTTACAAGAACAATTCAGTGTGTGACAAAGTAAGAAGCTACAACACAACTTTACAAAAGAGCCTCATCGTCACAAGACTGGGGGATGGGGTGCCCCCCTCCGGCCAGACAGTTTTATCCTATTGAGCTTTTGCTTGGTGTGCATTTTTAACTTCCACTAGCTATTTAGGATTAGTAGAACCTCATAAACATAAAAACAAACATTGTTTTTGAGCAATTAGAAGTTAAACGTATAAACATTTGATTCAAAATTTAAAATACAACTTCAAATCTAGTTCCCCTGCACAAGGACACGGTCTATAAATGCTGTTCTTGACCTCAGAATGTAAGGTCTCAAGAAAGTGTTATGCATTTTTTAAAATAAATATTAATTAAGAGAAGTCAAGCTTCAATTAGTTTACTATATGTATTCTGACATACATATATGATATGTATATCAGACGGTTGTATTTTAAATAACCTACGTAGGGCTGGGTAATATACCGAAAATTAACCGACACTGAAATTTATAACAACGATCGACATCATTTTGCCCATGTCAGTATTTTCCGAATGTTATAAAAAATAAATAAAAGTTGTTTTGTCTTTGGGCTGTGTATAGGTAAGCTATTCTCATGTCCCTTTAAAATGCTGCGCTACGTGCAGTCTGTAGTCACATGACTCCACCCCATCCAGTCTGTAACAAGAAGTGACAGAGACGGAGCGGTTGAGAAAATGGAGGAAATTTCAAATGTTGAAGCGGCAGCAGCAGCAGTGGTAAAGCTGATCCAGGAGGAAGAGGAGCAGCTGATTTACAAAAAAAATAAAATAAAGCGTCATCAGTTGTCTGGCAACATTTTGGGTTCAGCAAAGACGATATTGAACAAAAAAAAAAAAAAAGCCAAGTGTAATCCTTTACAGAGAGGTAGGCCTTTGCACATGACATTATATTTGCACAACTCATTGTTTACTTTTCCAAATGGCAAATGTGAAATTTATTTTTTATTATTTAGTTTTATTTACAAGGGAATACTTGACAACTCAAATGTGACCATTTCATTTATACGAGATTGTATTTTTAATACTTTGTGTTTACAAGAAAGTTAAGTTATTTTATATTTCTGAATTTGTTCAGTTGTGCTTATTTGTTAAAAAACTAACAACTAAAAGTACACATTTTCTTCATTTATTTGCAGAAGCTGAAGTTTTAAAGTTCATTAAAGTGGCAATAAAAAGGGAATTATGCCATCAATATAACTGCTGTGAATTATTTATGCGGGCCTATCACCTTATTTTCGGGGGTGGGGGTTACAATTATTGTTCATTTATCGTTATCGATATGAACTGCTCAGTATATTGTGATATTGATTTTAGGTCATATCGCCCAGCGCTAACCTACTGTATATATGACAACAACAACATCATAATAATAATAATATATATATATATATATATATATATATATATATATATATATATATAGACTTTAGTTTTTAGTACAGGACCCCCAGGGGTATCAACGGCCCCAACACAACCTCCCTATTAAAAACATTTTGAAGGCATCACTCCAATATTCTTCAGAAGCTCAGATAAGTGATCAAAGTAATTTACCTTCCAAGTGACTCTGATACTTTGAGAAGTTACTGCCTGAAGGGTCACATCCATCGGAGGACCGTCAGGCTCTACAGAGAGAGACAAAAAGACCGAGTGCATCCCACAGCTCTTTTATTCCGGTCATTTCCCCTAATTATTCCAGTTTAAAATTAAACCAATGTTTTGATTGTTAAATTCAGATAGAAGTCTAAACTATAACACATTTTCAAGAACAGCACAGACACAGGGAGGACAAAATGCCAAGTGCTAAAAAGATAATCCAGCAGTAAAGAGTAAAACTCAGTCCTTTAAAAAAAAAAAACTTACGCGCTTCCTCTGTGCTGATGGTGAGCTCCTTACTGGCCTCGCTCTTGCCTATAGCGTTGTAGGAATACATCCGGATGCTGTAGACAGAGGCAGGGTGCAAGTCCACAATGTTGGCCTGATTGTTTGTGGGGGAGATGTTTCGAGTGGCATGCTTCAGCTCCCACGAATCTGACAAGATGGAGGAGAATAAATAGTGTTGCAGCTGTCATTCACTTTATCCATTTCAAAAAGAAAAAAGTGAAATAGTTGACATTTTATGTTTTACCATGCTCTGTAGAGATGTCAGTAAAGTGGCATCAGAATCCTGGAAAAACTTACCTGTCTTATTTTTATATTCAATATCATAAGAGGTAATGACACTGTTTCCATCAAATCTCTGCGTCCACCTGAGATTCATGCTGCGATCTTTCACTTCTCGGATCTCCAGCTCTGGAGGGTCTGGAGGTTCTAAAGATTCAAAGGACGTATTGTGAACAAAGGGAGGCAATGGAAAGGATCATACACACACACACACACACACAAAATCAATACTTGTCAACATATCCTGATATATGCTCAATAATCCAAGTAGAAAAATCTAACAAAGTTAAGTCAGGTCCTCTGGACAGATTCCAAAATATCAAAAAACGCTAAAACTTTTCGTCTTTAATCCAAAAGACTTTGTCAGTCTGAGGAGCTGTAGTAAGCTCAGTCTTATTGGATGGAGATGGGGTAGAGACAGGGCAACCGACCTGGGACCCGAAAGTCCCATGTTCGATCTCCAGTCATTGCGTATCTCGTGGTGTCTCTGAGCAGGACACCCTATCCCCAGTTGCTCCCTGGGCGCCTTCAATAGCTGCACACTGCTCCACCTGAGGGTGGATGGGTTAAATGCAGAGAGCCAATTTCACCATTGTATGGGAATATACAATGATGATAACACATTACGCTTCATCATCATCATTACGCTCCACACTGGTTTGTCGTCATATTTATTATCCGCATCGTTTTTATGTCTATATTTTTGATTTACTTTTTTTTTTTTTTTTTTTTCATTTAGCCTTTATTTATCCAGGTTAGTCTCATTGAGCCACGAGAACTCATTTTCAAGAGAGACCTGTTTAGGGAGCACATGGTGGGGGTTAAGGGCCTTGCTCATGGGCCCAGAGTGGGGCGAATGAGGGTGGGGGCAAGTGTGGGTGTTTCACCTACCCCACCCACAATTTTGATGTTGTCGGGGCCGGGGCGTGAACCAGCAATCTTCGGATCAGAAGCCCACCTCTCTAACCTCTGCGCCACCACTTCATTTTGTATTTTGCTTCGTGTGTTGTCAGTTGTTCTGTCTGTACAGCACTTTGGTTGGCCTTGTAGCTGTTTTAAGTGCTCTATAAATAAAATGGTATGATATTATTATTATTATTATTATTATTATAAATAGCACCTTTTCATATCAGCCAGTTTGTTAACATGCAAAACTAGCTGTTCACATGATCAAGGGGGACCATCAGCATAACGACTGGTCGTTAGTGCCCTGATGGCCACTTGCTATTCACAGGGGGCTGAGTGATGCTAGCAGTAAGAGAACTGTAAGATGGGGGACAGTTGAACACGGAGGCCTCCACCCCCGTTTAATGATGGACTTTTTTTTTTCTCACAAAGATAACTTCCTTTACTCCTCTCTCAAACAACCGTTCCTCTCTTTCAACGTTTCAACATGAGGATGAAGCGGAAAATGTTTTGGGGCAGTACTTTCCAATTTGAAGCAAGGTTTCTGAGGTAGATGCATTTAGCTACAAATGGCTACCTTGCACAGTGAGCTGAATAAGGCCTCTTCCTTCTCCGTAAGAGTTGATAGCATGACAAGAAAAGAAGACAGAATCCTCACGCTCTGCTGGCTTTAGCTGCAGTGACAAAGATGGAAACAAAAATGTCAGAGACAAACAACTCAATCGTTGTCCTGACAAACAGTGCAAAAGCATATAGCTTCATGATGGAGAACCGCCTTGATGGTATTTTGTTTTTCTCCATGTTCATTAAAAAAACTACTTATGTTGGTCTGTGCTCTAATACAGGACTTGAAGACTTTAGGACTACAGCTTTGCAAGTAGTTAGTAAAAATGGAAGCATTGCATTTTTATTGTAATAAATTTCTGCTGATATTAGGAAAACAACAGGGGCTTCCCCCAACAACTAATAATAGTATTCTTTATTGTCATGTTTTTTATCATCTCACCCTCCTTCTATAAACCCCAAGAAATAAAACACATAAGTAGACAAACCACACCAGAATTAGATTTGCTCAATGCTAGGTGAGGACTAAAATGAATAACTGAGAACAAAGCTGAAAATCATTTGTCAATAAAGAAAGGATCCCAAACACCCTGTTGAATGATCGTATCATCACAAGCAATTTGTTTTTTTACCTTTAGAGTAGACAACACCTCGTCTGTCTTCTCATTGGGACTCGTGGTTATGGAGTATCTGGGATTGCGATCAGGGTCAATCACAGTGTCGCCTCTTTCCCAGCGAATGATGATGGGCCATTCTCCCCTGGCTGTGCAGTTCAGCTCCTTCAAATGACCCTTCTTAGCCATAGTGGTGTTGGGATGACTGGTGATCATTGCTGGGACTGACGGGAGAAAGATATGGTAACGGTAATCAGATAGAAGATGGGGACGTTAGACAAAGAAGGCAAAGAAACGAGGGGTAAACAGGAGAAAAAGGAAAAAATAAGCAAATAATAAGCAGGCTTTAAGTGGGAACGGGAGAAAAAAGTGAATAAACAGAGAGAAGGAAAGGATAACTGGCAGCTGAAAAGGAGGAGCTCCGCGTATCTGAGTTCCATTGCATTAAAGTAATGAAGAGCTGTGGTCAATGAGGTAAAGTCAATAAACCTCCTTTCTCATTCTCCAATAGTTAACATTAGGGTGTAGGTGAATGAAGAGGCAAAAACAATACACTCCACCTTTTGTGTACACTCCATACACACTTAATCTTCTAAGTCCAACACACACTCCATATTGATCCGAGGAGGGTTCTGCAGTTTTGTTTTCATCACTTATTCATCTCGCCCTCCCTCTTTTCCGCTTTTCCTTCCTTTCCGCTGAGCGAAACAGACAGAATCGAGGGAGGCAGAGGAGAGGAACGGTTCAATCAATAACACTAACACAAGAAGGAGAAAGAGGGGGAACGCATCGGAGAGGGGGCAACCCTGTGATGAAATATAGCCTGGTGAGACCAATGGATACATTTACTGTGCGTGCACCTTGTTATTTAGGTTTGAGTGCACAAAAAGCTGTCAGATACAGGGCCTTGACAACTCTATTGCGATTATAGTTGAATTATAAGCTCAATGTACCACATGCTGAAAACAATACCTCTGCCTCACATATTGTTGTGCTTGATGCTGATAATCTTTGTGTTTATGTGTTTTTCATTTCATTTTTATGTGGCATTACCCGTGGTGATATTGACAAGTGAAGCACCATACAGCGATTGATTGCAGATAATGATCAAGCTCAAAGTCTTTCTGATTGTGTCAAGAGAGCTCCCATGCATCAAAAGATCAATCGCTCAGCTGTCTTCTCGCTGCCTATCACAGTCGTGCAAAAACATTTCTTTCCCTCATGCTGTTTCCTTATATGTTTGTGGTCATTTTTGCTTCATTAATCTATAATGTGTCGCGTGTGTGTGTTCATGTATGTTTATACTTATTTTGTGTGTGTTTGTTAGGGGCTTCATTGGTTTGACACAGTGAGTGAGCACAAGAGCATGAAGTACGATGAAGCAGGAGCAGAAGACAATCTTAGATGCCCAAATTGCATACAGGCTCTGGACGGGTTTTACAGGCTGTGTGTGGTTGTGTGCTCACTTTTGACTGTGAGCACCATGCTCTTGCTGATGTCTGAACCCACTCCGTTGGAGGCCTGACAAAGGTAGAAACCACGATCCTCTTCCAGGACATGTCTGATGAGCAGAGAGCCATTATTCATTATCTGAATACGGCCAGTGAGAGGCACGGGGTGGTATTGCTGTGGGTTCCCAATACCCGCTGGACAGAAGGAGACAAGACCAGTAATTATGATAAAGTAATCTAACAGTATTTGCATTTGAAGACAATCTATTCTGCACAGTGTAGAAGCATGATTCTGGCAATGGGATTAAAAATGCTGACAGAGGGATATACTGTAACACATGCATGCATAGATAAAGTATGAAAGATGATTCATGTACCGAGTGCACCTCTGGCATGCTTCCACATGACTTTCGGAGGGGGGTATCCATCAACAGAACAGTTCAGGATTGCTGCCTTTCCATAGATCCCATCCTGGTTGTTGGGCTGCACAACAAATCGAGGAGGTACTGGAAATTCACAAGAGAGAAAGTGAATGAAAAGACACTATTTTTAATAAACAATTGCATTACCAAAAAAATTGCATCAAACAATTATTCTGGGAATAAATAAATAATATAATTACTTTTTATTACATTTGCATTATAATAAATTATAATTAATAATCCTATAAACAATTGTAATTATAACAAATAGGCTACCCCACTATGCTATAGCTAGCTGCTGCTGCAGCCACTTGCATTTGCAAAAATATATAGAATTCTATGTAAATAACCATGTGATGTATAATTGATTGCAATGTAAAGATTTGTAAAATAAGGTTTGATGAGTGTGTTTTTTGCATTTAGACTTGTTTGTATGATGGCAGCTTTCTCGTTTGATCTTTGGTTCTCCTTTATTACACATTTGCTTTTCAATCTGGTAATATTTAAACTATCTCTCTAAACTGAAGTAGTTTAGTTTAAAGACTTGTCTACAACAGGGTGGTTTTAAATTGTTTATAAAGTTTGCACAGAACTCCACTTTAAAACACCCACTATGGCACTTTAAAAAGATTTTCTTACTAAGTGAGATTAAACAATTTAGTATATGTTACAAAGATTCATAAGCAAATGCTTTGACTGAGACTGCCTCACTGTTTAGCATGACTCTAGCATCAACTTTAATAAGACAATAGTCTAATATATTTTTTGTTTATGCTGAAGTATGTTTAATTGATTTTATCTGTGGTGCAAACTTTTGATATTTGCATTAAAAAAACATGTTTGTTCTAACTATTGCTGTTTTGAGGTGCTGTATATATGCTTATGCTTTCTGCACTCGGTTGTACTTACCTGTAACTGTGAGCTGCCTCTCTGTGCTAACAGTAGCAGCATCATTGCTAGCAATGCAGGTGTAGTTGCCATTGTGTTTGAGAGACACTTTGGAGATCTGCAGGGAGCTCATGAACTCCTTTGTGTCGATGGTGATGCCCGAGGAGGGTACGATCTCCTGGCCGTCCTTCCGCCACGTGATGCGTATGGGCATGTCTCCAGATGACACAACACAGGCGATGTACATCAATTTGCCAATGGAAGTTGGGGGGAAGTCAAATGGTTGGATCAGCGGGGGAACTGAGAAGCGGGCAGGAGAAAATAGAGACGAGGTGAAAGAAGAAGAAAATTAGAAAGACAAAGTAAAGAGGCATATTAAAATGAAAAAAACAGGAAAAGGACGAGATCAAATTTAAGCAATGACCAATGAAAGAGAGGAGCTGTAGAGTAAAACAGGGAACAGGGAAGGCAATGAGGTGATATAAAAATGGACAGAATAGGAAATGTAGTTCAAAAGACAAGTGAGCGTATAATATTTAAACAGTTAAATAAAATGAAGTCAAATAAATGTAATGTTTAGAATCAAGGAATATATGGATGGACAAATAGTTTTAACAATTCAAAGGCATTTAGATGGTGAGACAAAAATGGATGTAAAGTAAAAAATGGAATGGGAAACCAGTGAAGGGAGGAAAAGACAATGTTAGATTCCCCCGTTTCAAAAGCCTGTCTTGAACTCTGACATTTTATTCTGATTAACAAAATTGGTGTAAACTTTTCTGTTTGACTCCAAGAAAACAAAGATGATGTCCTGAGGTTGTTGTCTTGTCCTGGACTAAGTTACAAATCTCCATATTAAACTGCTCACACCGCAGCCGCCCATGCCCTTTACCAATTCCTCCTTTCCAGCCCACCTCGCCCTGCTAAAGCCAGCCCGTAATAGCTGCTCTAATTAGAGCCCCATCCATAGGGGATGAACAGTGTTGCCATGGATACCTGCTGAAGTGATGGTGATAGTTTGGAGTGGGGGTCTGAGGGGATGGGGGTTCATCTGAGACATCTGGGAGATTTAATCTGGGCCTCGTTAGCATTCATCTAATTAAATGAGAGGCATGACAGGCACACGTTCATACAAACACGTACCAGCGAGCGTGTAAATGTACATGCACACATGCACACGTGAGCAAGGTCATATACGTTAATGTGCCTGTATGTGGTAAGGAACACTATGGTACAAATACCATGGAGTAGCACAGATTTCACACTTTGTGAAAATGTCGCACAGAAACACACACTCACACACACATTGACAACTTCCTGGAACAAACATGTCGTTCTGCTTCTGCAGCTGAGAACAGAGCGAGACGTTACATGCAAAATATTTACAGCACGCACACACACTTCATTCATACTAATACAAGCTGGCACAGGGCATACACACTCACTAAACTTATGCAATAGCACTCCTGCTCTGTGTAATTGCCGAGTGGTTGAGAGCTTGCACTCGGCCACTCCGCCCCTTAATCAGGGGTTATTAGAGGTAATGCAGAAAGCTTTGTTCGTGCTTCTTGTTCTGTTTCACTAACACTACCCTGTTTCAAAGCATTGCTAATCACTTCCTGTTTTACCATTAAACAAAGATTCATAAAGACGATTTTTGGCCTTTTATTGATGTGCATGACTAACAAGCTACATGTAGCAGCCTATACAAGATTATTTTGCATCAAGGACCATATAATCTAGGAGCACTAGCACATATCAGATCCAGAAATGGCTTAAACGGGAGTTGAGCTAAGAGGAAAGCCAATCAACTGATGACCAGACCATTTTTTAAGGCAAGAGGTGAAGATTAATGATTTCTGAGATTGTTGTCATCTTACAAATCCACAAAAAGTATATTGGTTCAAAATGAGGCGTTCGTTACTGTAGAAAAGTAAAAGTAACAGTAAGCAAAGCCGTTGAGATAAAGAAGTAAGATGTTTGGATGAGACAGAACAACATTTGGTGAGAGAAAATAATTTGAATTGAGCTGAAACCTACCAACCAACCCTTCTAATTCTCACCCTAAAGTTAAGGTTTATTATACACAGGAACAAGAAGATACATGTTGTGATAAAATGCTTTTAGATTTAAAAACAGTCAAGTATTACACCAGGTATATTTTGCAAATGGAAAACAATAAGAATTTAGTTTGCCAATGGCACTACTGTAACTGTTAGGAGATTAGATTGCCAAATAAAATTAATTATGTTTTGTTCCAAAGTTTTTCTATCAAAACCATCCATGTTTATGGCTCTCTGACATAATCAGTAAGGCTTAGATATAAGCTGATAAAGTCAGGTCGATCTGTAGGCCATCAGCAAAAATAAATAGTGAAATAGCTTCTGAAAATGGACCACCAATGGAAGAATACATGATGAAACTGGAATGGGACCTTAAATAGAGCTCTGAGGTACACCACAACGAAGAAGGGGTCACAACTAAATAATTTTTCCTTAAATGTAGAGTTCTTTTTACTACAATGTGCATTTTCTTTTCTTGGAAGGTGGAACCAGTACTAATAAATGCATAATCTGTATTCATTCAAATCAACTTTACTAAGCTTGCTATTGTAAAACAGAGTATTTCACATTACAGTGAACCCAGCTATCCTGCCTTCAGATTAAAAATTCCACCAAGCAACATTATATGGATTGTGCAAATTCCAAACACACTCATATACGTTTGAGACATCTATGGAAGTTCTTGTGTATGGAAAATAAAACCCTTGTGTAAAAACAAAATGTTCAATAAAGTCACCTTTGCAACTGACCTTTGACTGTGATGTAAACGGTCTCGGTGATGAATAGCCGTGGCTGGATCAGCACACTGCAGACGTAGGCGCCTTCGTCCATGCCCTTCTGAACATCACTGAGCTTCAGTGTCCCATTCTCAAACACCACCTGGAGTGGCATTTATATTATAAAATATATCAATAATTTGTAAACAGACATTTGAATTCAAATTATATAGCATTAAAGGGCGCCACGGTAGCACAGTTAGTAGATCTGTTGCCTCTCAGCAAGAAGTTTGATGGATTGAATCCCAGCCGGGCACCTTCCTGGGTAGAGCTTGCATGCTCTCTCTGAGTACTCCTGTTTCCTCCCACAGACCAAAAACATGCATGTTAGGTTCATTTGTAACTAACTTGTCTCCAGGGTCGAGTGAGAGTGTGTACGTTTGTCTCGTTTATCTCTATATCTACGTTCACACTGCAGGTCTTAATGCTCAGTTGCACTCAGATCTTATTTTTGTGTGTAATCGATCACATTATCATTAAAATCAAGGGAATTTTGGAGTAGTAGCAACATATTAAAGGTAAAAACAAACTCAAATATTGATTCCATCACATAAATATTGATATGGAAAATTGTATTTGACATGTTCAGAATCAGAATCAGAATAAAATTTATTGGCATTGCACTGAGCTACAATGCAAACATGTATGCACGTATGCATGTATGCATGTATGCAGTCGTCCGAAAGATGGGGGGAGTGCACAAAGCTGCAACTATAGAAAGCGCGGCCTTTTCTTATTCTTATTCAGAAAAATATTTTTGAGATAGGAAAAGGGGGAGAAACATGAGGTTAGATAGTGGTATTACAAAAAAAGATCTTTCACATCTTGTCTATCAGGACACAATTAGAAACATAAAAAAAAAACTCTACTAGCAAGCACAATTAAAACATGATTACATTTGCATTTGACATCAAGGTGTTGAGATTTGTCCATGAGCGTTTTTCAGATCAGCCACAGTTTCTGAAGATGTTGTTTCAGCCAGCAGTTCTGATAAGCTTGCACAGAAAGTTCTCGGGGGGTGCGATAGATGAAGCTTTTGTCCTTGGTTACCCATGTCCCAGGAGAAATTTGATAGTCGGCCCGTCTCCGAGGTCGTCAGGAGTCTGATTCAGATAAGCTTGATTCTTGTTTTTCTTCAGGCAGACAGATTACTTTTTTCTAGCCTCGAGTCCATCTGGGCATTCTGGTTCCGAAAATGCCTAATTGTGGGATTCCATTCCACTGATCCATGCTATGAGTCTCCTTCAAGGTCGAACCCACCACGCTGATAAGTCCCAGAAGCCGCAGGTGGCCTGCGATTCTCATAAATCGCCTCCACCTTACGGTTTAGCTCATAAACCAGATGATTCAAAGTTCCTATTGCATGGACCAAACCTTCACACTGACTCGGAAGCTTTTCCATGGCCGAAACTGCTGCTGCCATCTGCTTTAAAAGTCGATAAAACAGAGCCCCGCCGATGCCAAAGAGCAGAGTCCCTTCTATTATAATTCCAAATATGTAAACATCTTCAACATCCTCCTGAGACAGAACTGAAAGGCACATCAGCTGCCACACTCCCCACGGATCCATGACATACCCCACAGCGTGAGCCTCAGCTGGACACGCCGATTCTCCAGGACCTTGTCGCTTTGATGAAAAAATCTTATCAATAGAGTTGAACGCCCAAGATACCAAATCCATAATCTTCTTAATTTATGTTTGGAAGATGTGAACCAGGCACTTCAGACACACAGAGAGCAGAGCAGGAGGAAGGAAAAATGGGGGAGGAAAGACAGAAGCAGCCACCTCGATCAGAGCCAGGGAGAAAAATAAATAAATGTTCAGACTGTCATGAAAATATCTGAAATGAGTCGATATGGGAAAAAATAAAAAATAAAAATCAGAATGGGCCGCATTTGTCTGCAGTGTGAACGTAGCTTATGTGGCCCAGTGATGAGCTTGCAACCTGTCCAGGACTTCCCTTACCTCTCGCATAATGACTACTGGACATTGGCCCAAGCAAATCCTGGTGTTATTTTGTGTTACAGTAGTCTCTCGCTTCTTCGCAGTTCAATTTTCGTGGACTCGCAATATCGTTGTTTGTGGGCTTACAGTACTGTACACATATTGGACAATTTTTATTATTGTTTAACACACGATTGTGGAGGCAGCACGGTGGCGCAACTGGTAGAGCTGCTGCCTCTCAGCGAGCAGGTCCTTGGTTCAAACCCCGGTCCAGGGGCCTTTCTGGGTGGAGTTTGCATGTTCTCTCCGTGCATGCATGGGTTTTCTCCGGGTGCTCCGGTTTCCTCCCACAGACCAAAAACATGCATGTTCGGCTGATTGGTAAGTCTAAATTGTCCCCAGGTGTGGGTGAAAGACTGAATGGTTGTTTGTCTCGTTTGTCTCTATGTGTCCCTGTGATGGACTTGCGACCTGTCCAGGGTGTACCCCGCCCCTTGCACAGTGATTGCTGGACATGGGCACCGGCGACCCCCGTGACCCAAAATGGAATAAGCCAGTAAAGATAATGGATGGATGGATGGACACGATTGTGGACTGTACAGTAATATCACTGTACATAGCTCATGTAGATGTGAGAAAGTTAATGACAAAAAAATAATAATAATTTGGACAGACCCTGCCATTTTGTAGTTATCTTTCATTCAACCCCCAACAGTACTGTAATTGCCACTCTTAAGGACTACGTTGCCCTTAATTCAATGCTGTAGTGGCTCTGGTCGCTGTTTTCTGCCGAACAGTATTTTTGCAAAGCGAAGTCATGACTGCTGAACCGGCCTTTCAAACGTAAAATTGAATTTGTTACATGGAAAAGTTGTTTTTTTAAGAAAATTCAATTTTACAAATGTAAGACTTGCAAGAAAATGTAAATCATGTCAGGACATTTCTCTTTAAGAAACGGAACATTGCACTTAGTAACCCGGGCACTGATCAGATCAGTAACCATCAGCTCCGTTTAACCCAGCGGCTGATTGGCTGTTACCATCTGTTATTGTCTGTTTACCTTCACTTTTTTTCAACTAAACTTCAAGTGTTACTACTACGTTGTTTTCTAAATGTTCTGTGTTCAAAAGTTTCTGGCGGCGAACCAAAATGCCAGAATGCTTTGTAACTGAAATGCTTAGTAACCCAGGCGCTGATTGGCTCAGTAACTGTCAGCTCTGTTTAACCCGGCCGCTGATTGGCTGTTACACTAGCAGACAGTCACTAACAGCAGGGGGTTTGTTTACCTGTGTTCTTTTTCAATTGGATGGCTCCTATTAATGTTCTGTGCATTCAAAAAGTTTCTGGCGGCAAACTGAAATGCCAGTGGAAGATGCTGACGATTAAAGAGAAAATGGAACTTCTGAATAGACTTTAAGATGGCCGAGATGCTGCCGGCCGCCTACAGCACAATTGTTGAGATGGAAGTTGCACTGGTCATGTGGATTAATGATTGCAAAAAAAAAATAAAAAAAATAAATCACTTTGGATACCAACACCAAAGTTGAAACAACTTTACTGTATGATCATCTTGCAGCAAGCAGCATGGAGGAAGAGACATGGCAATGTAAATGAGGAGTGGAGAGCGGGGGGGGGGGGGACAAACCCGAAGCTGGACCTTTCGACTACCTGGTTCAACCACTGAACCACTGCATTTAGTGCCAGCAAGGGATGGTTTGACAAATTTCAAAAATGATTTGGATTTAAAGGTGTTTCTCACAGAGAGGCTGCGTCCGCTGACACAGAAGGAGCAGAGGAGTTTAACACAACGTTCAAAGATCTGCTCGCCAAGCCGGAGGTCTACAGGTCTGAAGAAGTTTTTAACGTGGACGAAACAGGCCTGTTCTGGAAAAGGATGCCATCTTGCACTTTCATTATGAAAAACGAAGCCAAAGCACCTGGTTTCTTCTCATCTTCATCACCTTCTTCGTCATCACTGGACAGCTAATTCTTCATCTCCATCTCTTCTTCATCTTCTCTGGTGAGTACCCATTTAAAATGTATATTTTTTTAAATGATTAAGAGTTTAGAAAAATTTTATGAACATTGCAAGAGCATGGGAAGGGTCTAAAATGTCAATATATCTGTATATAAATACTAAATAAACTACTACTTACTACTACTACTACAGTAAATCCTAAAATAAAATACTACTTACTACTATTACTACTTGTGTACATAATATTGTTCCAGTTCATGTACCACATGAGATGGTAATGACAATAAAGTTAACTTGAACTTGAACTACTGTATCCCTACTTTGGGGCGTGGTCCCTAACACCCGTGTTAAACGAGGGACTACTGTATTGGAATTATTTTAGCTACTGTTATGATAACTTAAAGGCAAATGTAAGCAATTCAAAATCTCTGTCATTTCAGTTATTGAATATGATGAACATAAAATTGAACAGACAGATTCATTTAGAAAAAATATGAAAGTTTAGAGTTATTACAGCACAGAAAAAATAAAAATACCACATTTGTTCATTCATTTTCCAAATCTCATTTAACCTCACGTGTTGGAACCAGATTGTTACAAGGCCAGTAAAGAAGCAAACAAGACAAACCAGCATGATCCTTTGCACTCACATTTGAAATCTGTATTGAAACACTAATTGGACTCACATGCAGGTTTTTCGACTGTTGGAGGAAGACACAGTCAGAGAACACCCACACACAGGCACTGAGAGGAAACGTAAACTCCACTCAAAGCGTGCGCTATAATCAAGAATCTTTTTGTTGTGAGATGGAAAAACTAACCACAATAACGCAATACTATCCAAAACACAGCATATTAATGATATTTGTACAGTCTTTTACTGAAGGTGGAAAACAGGACATCACCTGGCGATGGTTGTCAGGCAACAGGAGTTCCTCCTTGTACCAGTTAATTGAGTAATAAGGATACCCAATTACACGACAGTTTATGAAAGTGTTTCTTCCTGCCACTGCAGTGATGTTCTTCATAGGGCGAATCCTTGGAGGACCTGATTTGGAGAAAGACAGAGAGAGAGAGAGAGATACAGAAAGACGAAGAAAGGAAAATAAATGTGGTCAAAGAAAGACAAAAAAGGGGACAAGAATATCATTAGTTGATGGTGCCAGAAGCAGGTCATGGAATTTTAGGAATAATGGGGAAGGTTGATAAGGAAGAAAGTAGGAAGGGGAAAAAGACAAATATGAAAACATATAAATAAATAAAAAGAATGTAGGGGTGTAGGAAGAGAAAGTAAAAAGGATGTTCTACGGTTCTGTCCTAAAGTTAATGAGTCCAGTTCTACTGCTGTAGTAGAAGATTTGATCTTTTTCTAATCAATACTGACAAGTTTCTCCAGAATTAAGTTTGACATGTGTCTACCCATCCTTATCAGTTTCCTGTTCCTTCCAGACTTGCGTTTCTCACCACGTCCACAAAGTTGTTCTTGAAACGGTCTCTTTTTAAAAGTTCTTGTAACAGTATAACACCTCTCTGTAGCAATATCATTTTAAAGACAACTGCTGTAGAGAGAATGAACTTATCAGATTGGGCCACGCATTTACATTTCCTCCCACAAAACTCTGCCAATTTTTAAAAAAGCTCTTGGTCATTGCAGTGACACAAATGCTAGAAGCCAAATCCAGTTTTAAAGAGGCAACTAGACCATGTCTCGTTCTCGATAGACAAAAAGGTTGATGGTCATAAACTATGTTTTAGATACTATTCGTAAGAAAATTTACTGAGCCCTGAAACCACAATGGAAAAAATAAAACTGAGATCTAGTCTAAACTATTTTACTTTTCTGTTTAACTTTATTCCGTTAGCTTTTCTGAGCATGTCTGTTCCTCTAAAATGTTTGTTGATGTAGCTCTCTTGTTTGCTAAAAGAGGAGTCAAAATGAGCCATCCATCCTTTTATTTACTTTACATGCTTTTCCAATGCAGGGTTGCAGGAAGCTGATGCCAATCTGCAGCCATCATTGGACAAAAGACATGGTATACCATGGGCAAGTTTCTAGTTCATCATGGGGCCAGGTGTGATGGACTGGCACAACACTCACAACAGTTCACACACTCGATCCCACCTAGTGATGACTCTTCTGTTAACATAATGTATGTTTTGGTCTGCGGGAAGAAAACAGAGTTCCTGGAGAAAACAAAACCTATGCACAGGGAGAAGCTCCAAACTTTGCACAGAACGGTTGCTGCTTGGTTTCCTTGAACCTAGAACTTTTTTTTCTGTGAGACAGCAACAGCTCTAACCGATGATCTGCTATTCCCCAAAACGGGGATGTGACAAGTTCATTTAAATTATCTAAATCATTCTGGTCTTGGCCAGTTTTGTCCCCCAAAATATTCAGTTTTGCATTACATTCCAGCAGAAATAGTTTGAGATTCCTCCCAGAAGAACACCACTCTGCACCTGAACTGCTACAGTTAGCTGCTACTGCTGCTGGCACTGTTTGCATTTGCAAAACAAAGCTTTGAATTTTAAAGTTTAAATTTGTTTGTAAACCTGTTTCTCAGGCTGTTTGTAGTGTTTCTTAGTAATATAAATTTGCTGATCCATTACAGGAAAACTGGTGTAAGTTTGTTGAGAACTTATAATCTGCAATTTCAAGTAAAGCTATCTGACTTTCTTTCTGGTTCTTGAAGACATCGTGCTTCACATCCAAGGGGCTTTCTCATTTGAAAAATCAAAATGATTTCAACATTTTAAGCAGGAGTCCATGTACCTTTGGTTCAACTTAACAGTGATAGTCGTACATTTTCGAGCCACATTGGACTAGACATGAATATTAAATTTAATGCTAATAGATGTAACAAACAAATGATTTAACTGACTTTATACCTGTGTGCTACAAACAGGAAGTAACGGAGAGAAAACGAGTAGGTATAAAATGAAGCAAACAAAACCAACACTTAACAGTTTTAGGTACTTGTATTAAAAGATTTGCTGTTTTAATGTAGAATGCATTTAGATGAGGGTGGTTCCGTTGGTAGATCTGTTGCTTCTCAGCAAGAAGGTTGCCAGTTCAAATCCCTGCCTAGGACCTTTCTGGGTGGATTTTGCATGTTCATCACAGGGTGGTATGGGAACTGCACCAGTCAGAGCCAGAAAGCTCTATAGAGGGTAGTAGTGCAAACAGCAGAGGACATCACTGGTAGCAGTCTCCACACCATCCAGGATATCTAACACAGCTGATGTCTGCGTAAAGCATGCAGCATCATTAAGGATCACACCCACCCAGCACAAAGACTCTTCCGTCTACTACCCTCAGGCAGACGATACAGGAGTCTGTCATCGCGTACAAAAAGACTAAAGGACAACGATTATCCACAAGCTGTCAGATTAATGAACTCTCGATAAATAACACTGAACAACTGGCAATAACTAACTAATAATTCAACCTCAATGTCACTACCGTCTGTCCGTCTACCCATCTATCCATCTATGTATATATAGAGATAAGTGTGTGTGTGTGTATATGTATATATCATGTGCATTTTAGCTTATATTACTACCTTGAAATACCTTTTTTCATTCAAATTCATCCTGCTGCACCATTATATTCTACCATGTTGTTGTTCAATATCTCTATTTAGGCCATTGTAAATATTATAATTACTTTTTCACTTTTTGGTATTTTTATTGTGTACCCTTATTACATGCTTTTAGTATTTCTTGTTTGTTGGTTCTTTGATTTTTTTAAGTTAGTCAAATCAGTTCATCTCATCCTAAGCATTTCATTGTACTGTTACCCTGTGTTAACCTTGCATATGACAAATAAACACAACTTGAACTTCTCTCTGTGCATGCATGGGTTTTCTCCAGGTACTCCGGTTTCCTCCCACAGACCAAAAATATGCATGTTAGGCTGACTGGTAACTTTAAATTGTCCCTAGGTGTGAGTGACAGAGTGAATGGTTGTCTTGTTTGTCTCTTTGTGGATCTGTGATGGACTGGAGACCAGTCCAGGGTGTCCCCACCTCTCGAACTGTGACTGCTGTATGTGGGCACCAGTGACTCCCGCGACTCGAAAAGGAAGAAACAGATAAAAGATGATGGATGTATGTACTGATTCATTTACATGTTAACCTGGCAAAATAGTCATTCATGCAGATTAGCTGTTAATCAATTGATTCAAAGCTTGTATTGCTTTAACAACATTATTATTGATTATTGATTTCTTCTGCCGTGTTTGCTTTTTTAATGCTGCTTGGTTATCTGACTTTGAGCAAAAAAAGAAGGAAACTATTCTACATAATTTAATAAAAATTTGTTGGAAAAATGTAATATAATGAAGAAGATGACAATACATTTTGGTGCAGAGTTCTCAAAACACATTAAAAGAATGCCTCACTGTTTAAATAGTGTTGCCAAGTCTGACTGCCAAAAGATGGAGACTAAAGATCTGGGCAGGACGACAGAAAAATTTAAAGTTGTTTCATGTTGTTGGAAGCCATCACTCAGTCATCTGTCTCTTCTTCTCTGACCTTCTCACTATTGTTCATCTTGTACCTTTGTTTTGGTGTCTTCCTGCTTCTCTCCAACCCCCACATCTCTTGGTCTCTTTCTCTCTCCTCCCTGTCCCAGCATGTGCTGAGCTTTGAAGTCTCAGCTCTGACTAGTCAAAGATGTATTATTCAGTAGCACGTCACACACACACACACACACACACATTCTCACACACACGTCAACACACACATAGTCTAAATGTGTGTGTTCACCTGTGTCTGTGTGGCTCTGTGAACTTGCTGGCAGTCCCTCGGTGAATGAGATAAGTTGAATGACTCACATTTCATTGAGAGGGCATACATGCAGGTTTTTCCACAAGTGCTTATAAATATGTGTGTCCATGCATGTTGGTGTGTGTTGGCAGTATTTGTGACAGTTTGTGTTGCATGCAGGGCCTGAAAATCTCTGGCAATGGGGCTCATTCTCACTTCAGTGATCATTCTGGCATGTTTGCTTGGAGCAGACTCACATGTCACAACTACACATCTCACCAAAGGACCAAGAAAAGGGACCGAGAGAAATCGAGAGGGAGACACTGAGACGGTGATGCAGCTCTGTCCGTTGGTGTCACTTCTCATCCTTGTCATCTCAGACAACAGTGACATCACCAGTTCTGTCACCGCAGCTTTCCATCAGCCTCTCCAAAGACATGAGGAACTCCTCTCGACTCCATTCCTTTCCCCTCATTTTATCTACATCGTTTGTTCCTTTAGAAATCTTTGGCCAATTCTCACACTCTCACACATCTGCTCACATGCTCATGTTCATGTTTGTGCTGATGTTCAATGTTTTATGTTATGAGTGCTTAGTGTATATTTAGTTGATGTTTTTCTTAGATCATATCTTAGATGTTATTACTGTTTTTCTTAGACATTTTATTGTTGGATGTAACTGGGACCCCGTGTACATAATTTCGCTCCACCACATGTACCACATGAGGTGCGAATGACAATAAAGAAACTCTGACACTATACCTGTTTCTGCTTTAGCCACTTTGTCCTACAGTAGGTTAAACTAATGTACAGCTTCTCTTTGTCAATGTTTAGCATGTGTGAGCACACGGCTGCACATACAAGTGGGTAGAGTAGGCAGAACAGAGGTACACGCACAGAAAAACACATTAAGTATATGCTGGTGAAGATTATCAGTCATCCAGGACATGATGAATTCAAAAAGTGTTCAATACAAAAACAACTGGACAAATAAAGTCCAGTTGTTTTTGTTTTGAACACTTTTTGAACACATTAAGTATAGTTTTTTTAAGACAAACAATTCTTATTGACTGTATGTAAATCTAACACTTGGGGAAAAATCTTTTTGCATCTAAAATATGTTTTCCAGTACAATTGTACATAATCTTGTTCCACCACATGTACCACATGTGGTGCGAATGACAAATAAAGAAACTCTGACTTTATGCTGCTGTATTCATACCATCTGCTCACAACAGACTCATGTTCGGGCTGCTGTTTAATACACCATATCATATTACATGTTTATTGTTTAGCGTAGATCTTAGATCCTTATATACTGTTTCTTTTTATACTTTATATTTTTGCTATTTTTGGGTGTAAGTGGGATCTTGAGTACACAATTTCATTCCACCTCATGTACCACATGTGATGCGAATGACAATAAAGAACCTTGAACCTTGAAATACGAGGGGCTAATGTACTCAAAAACTGAAAGAAAGACAAAAAAGACATACAACGTAAATGGGCTCCTGGAGAAAAAAGACGTTTCTGCAGATGGAACAGACAAAAAAAAGGACAGATAAGAGAAAACTAAACGCACATACAGAGAAAAAGGTAAAGCCAGGAGAGCGTATTGGCCAGGGTGGGGGAGGGGGTCAGGCTTTGAGGAGCCTCTGTATAACTGATATTGAAAAGTAGACAGGCACCTCTTACGTTTATGCGCGCTTGGTACTCGGCACTACCAGCCGAGTTTCGTGCGGCGCACCGATACAATCCTCCATCGCGAATCTGTGGGCTGCTGATGTTCACGTAGCTCACGGTGCTCCCGTCGGAGAGTGTGTACTGGCTGGATCTGACCCGTGACAGATCCCGGGCCACAGGCTCATCATCCAAGGTCCAGGTGATAGTGGGCGGAGGGGCTCCTTTGGCAGCACACATCAGGGAAAACGGTTCACCCGGGACGACAACCCTTTCACTGAAAGAGGTAACGATACGGGGTGTCCCATCTGGGGAATGACAAGACCAGAGATTTAAGGTGTGAGAGGAGGAAGAATGTAGCAATAAAAGTGTGAGGAGACGGGTAATAAAGCTTTCATATTACACTTGGAGACACATACTGTTCTTCTTTGAGAAATGTACAAGCATTAATGTGATTATTTGAAAGTTTTGAAGTGAGATTCTTTGGAAAAGTAATGAACAAGTAATATATTAGCTGATTTTGATCATTTTGATGGACAAGTTAGAGGCTAGTCCAAGCAGGGCCAGCCAAGAACAAAATGGATTTCTAAACTCTTAAGTTAATTCTCAAATGTTTCACTGCAGTTCCTGAGAGATGGTTTTAGTTTATGAACCAGGACATCCCCTCAGATTCTCTGATTCTCCTCGTTTAGCTAATCAGTGGAGCTAAATAAGAACTTTTGGTGATTCTGTTTTTAGTAGCCATGCACCGAAAATGTGGAACAGCCTACAGGAGGATCTGAGAGGAGGCCATAATCTTGATAGTTTTAAATGTAAACTGAAAACCCATTTTTCCTATCGGGCTATTACATATTTGGGGCAACTGTGGCTGAGTGGTTAGAGCAGTTGTCCTCCAATGCAAGAGTTGGGGGTTCAACTCTACCAGCATTCACATGCTAAACTGTCCCTGGGCAAGACACTGAACCCCTCATTGCCTCCAATGTGTGTCCCACCAGTGTATGAACGTGATAAAGCACTGATTAATCTTTGCATAGATATAGTAGAGTGCTGTATGAATGGATAAAAGAGGGCATAGATTGTAGTGTAAAGCACTTTGAGTATCTTGATGAGATAGAAAGGTGCTATATAAGTACAGTCCATTTACATATAAGTTTTTTTTTCTCCCTCCACTGTACTATGAATTGCATTTGACTTATATGAAAGGGGCTATAAAATAAAGCTTGACTGAGTGATTGATTGATGAGAAAGCTATTTTGTGAACCTTAATCAGTTTCACATTATATGGGCGGCTGTGGCTGAGTGGTTGGAGCAGTCGTCCTCCAGTGCAAGACTTGGGGGTTCGAATCCACCAGCAGTCACATTCTGAAGTGTCCCTGGGCAAGACACTGAACCCCTCATTGCCTCCTATGTGTGTCCCATTGGTGTATGAATGTGATCTAAAGCACTGATTAGTCTTTGTATAAATCTAGTAGAGTGCTGTATCAGTGGGTAAATGAGGGCACAGATTGTAGGGTAAATTTATTTGAGTTTTGAGTATCTTGATAAGATAGAAAGGTGCTATATAAGTACAGTTCATATAGAAAGCACAAATGTAATTTTTGTTTTCATCTTCTGTCTATAATTTCTCATTTAAGTTTCTTTCTCAGTTTGTGCCTTTTCAGAAACAATTTGCTGATTGGTCAGACAATTGGTTAAATATAGCAAAACAGCAACTCGTTTGAGGTGTACCAAAGTAACAAGCAGGGAGTTATGTTTAAGGGCCGTAGTAGGGCGTACATGTATTTCAGTGCAATCTCATTCTGTAAAAGAAGCACAAGCCCAGACAATATGAGGCATTTCAGACAGTTTACCAGCGATGTCTACTGTTGGGAAAAAAGTTTTAGTATGGAACTTGAGCTTCATAGCTTTGATGCTTTTTTATTTCATTTCATTTTTTTTTTCCCCAAACATTATACAACACAAATGGGAATAAAAAACAAGCAGCATAACAAGCACTGAATTAGAGGTCAAATCTAGTCTGAAATGTGTCTAAATCATTACACAAACAAACAATGCATCCAAAATACATGCATATAAAAATGCACATTAAGGCATTTATTTCACATTCCCATCCTCTGTTTACTGGTGAGCTTTTAATAAATTAATTTTTCCCCATATGTCAGCAGATTCTCAACTGCTACATGAGTTCACACATGAAGCAGAAGCAACCTGTTCTTCACCACACATATGTGCTGTAAATCATGTGGAATTATTGTTTTATTCAGCATAAAATCAAACAGTTACCCTGATGCATAACTAACCTCATCAGCAATTCTACGTAAACATTCATGAGTGCACAATAACACAACAATAATGAACTTCTGTCGTCACCTTCTAGCAGTATGATGGAGAAGTCCTGGGCAGTTTGGCCCTTCCTCGAGGCGAAGCACTGGTAGGCGCCCGAGTGTCTTTTTTGCGCAGCAGAAATGAACAAGGTCTCATTGTGAGCTCCCTGGATGGAAAAGTGCTGATCGGGCATGACGGGTTCTGTGTTACGGTACCAGGACACCGTAAAGTGAGGGGAACCTTGAACAGCACAGGAGAGGATGACAGTACTACTGATCCCAGTCTTCAAGTTCTTTGGAGACAATGTGACCCGCAGGGGCTCTGCAAACAGAGAATACAGGAAGAGAAAAGTCGAAAAAACAAAAAAACAATGTAGATTTCATTTCATTTTCATTTTCATTTATTTATTTAGTTAAATTAGGACAATGCATATCAATCAACATGTCAGCAGTAAGCAACAATGTGAATATGCTGGTGTTAGCATTGCATCACAACAGCTACTATTCATCCGTTGTCCTAGAACAAGAAACATCCCACAAAACAAAGAGCAGAGAATAATACAAACATCACCTATATAACTTATAGCACAACATGAAATTACAATAAAGATCCAATGCCATAACACAATAGACAAATTAATCTACATATGAGTGCACTTCTGGTTAGTTTTAATCTTAGTTAGATGAAGGAAAATTATCTACATTCTTGAGGGTAATATATCTTGAGGTTGCAGGTTCGATATCCGGTTGCACCAGAGAGGGCATACAAAGTACTTTGTAAAACAATTGGCAAGTTTCTTGTGTGAGTTTGTTTGCTGTGGGGAGCAGCCAAAAGAAAAATAATTACAACAACTGAAGGTTAATATATGCCAGTATTCCAAAATGAGCATAACTATTGTCATGAGAGCAGCATGGTGCTGGCTAAGCAATAGAAGTCAAGTTGTGGTAAAGTTGTGTGCCTGTGTATGTGTCAGTTACTCTGTCCGTCTTGCTTTTGTGTGCCTCTGTATGACTGAGTGTGTGTGTGCTGAGCACTGAGGAAATCCAAGACAGAAAGGGGAGTAAATGTCAGTGAGCAATATGCAGCTGGTGTTAAGGACCAGCGGCTGCTGAATGTGAGTGAGCATGTGCGTTCGTGTGTCACTGCATCTGCATGTGTAAGATTGTGGGCAGTGACTTTGGCTTGTACAGTGTGTGTGTGTGTGTGTGGGTGGGGGGGGGGGGGGTGTTTCCCACCAAACATCGGCCCTGTCATAGGAGGTTTGTGTGTTGCACAGTGATGTGCCTTGTGGCCACTCTGCTCAGTGTCCACTAACCTTACTTTTCCCTAAATTCCATATTTTCCACACAAACCTCTCTGCGTATTCATCATGCCCGTGTCATCTATTTTTTTATATAGCTACATGACATTTTAATAGCTGAAGATTCAGTTTATCGTCATCTCTCACATCCTCTGCTTTAGACTGACCGGCCAACATGACCTTTTTTAATTTCTTTCACATTAATGTGGCACTATGAGCAAAGGAGGATGAAAGAAATCCTTTGTAACCAAACTCATGGTTATGTCATACGAGGCTAGCAAAAACAGCTTAAACAACTGCTTGTTTGTGTCCCTGTGTGGCATTCATTGTTTCTATTGTTCTTATCCATTTGCTCAGCAGTTGCCAGTACAGAAAAGTAGAGGTCAGAAGAGGAGATGCACTGAAAATGCTCAGTGATGATTGAACCCACCTATAACATTGAGGTGACCGGTCACCTCCTTGGAGCCAAAGCTATTGGTGACCTCACAGATGTAGTTGCCGCTGTCCTCGAGTCTCAAGTCAGAGATGGTGAGGCCCGTGATGCGGTGAGTCCAGCGGGAATCTGCTGGTAATGGCCGACCGTCTTTTAGCCATCGGATGGTGGGGTTTGAGTAGCCGGAGGCGATGCAGGGCAGCTCCACACTGTGACCCACCTGCACTTCACCAGACTGGAAACTGTCCAGCACATTAGGGGTGGACTCCGTAGGGTCTGAAGATGATTGTAAACAGCTTAAAATATGTAACCTGTCTGTTAATGTTCCATCACTACAAAATCTTTAATAAGGGCAATAAAAGGAAAGACAATTCTTTATTTTAATGTACAGCAACTTGTTGCTTACCCATAACAGAGAGTCTGGCTCCATTACTCTGGCGGGTCTCTCCACTGTACTTGTGCTTTGTGATACAGCGGTATGTGGACAAAGCATCTTCCTTCTGCACTTCTGAGATATATAAAGTGCCAAATGAGGTCAGGAAGAAACGATTACCTGTGGAGGACAACAGAGAAGGAGACAGTGGGTCAGTCATGTTTGACATAAAGCATTTAGTATTTATTGTCTGAGCTGTTATGTTTTCTCCCAGCTGGCTTTATTTGACACAACACATTCATTTACATATATCAAAACGTTATTAACTCATTTGTTTTAAATTATTGATTTTTCAGGACTGTTTTAAAATAAAAACAACATTTTAACACTGGCTTTTTATAAACTTTGTTGACAACGTAAGGGCCTATGAACAAAAAAGTTGGTCACTTGCTTTGATCACTGTTCTAAGGTTGTTTGTCAATTTTGCCAACAATATCACAAATTTCAGAAGAAAATGTTCATTGGTGACAATGTTCAATCACAGAACTTCAATGAACATACAGATGCTTTAGTGGTTCCCAACCCTGGTCCTTGAGGAACACCATCCTGCATGTTTTAGCTGTTGCCCTGGTTTGACATACCTGATTTGAATGACTTAGCGATTAACAGGTTTTGGCAGAACTTGAGGAAGTAATTAAATCACTGAATCAGGTGTTTTGATGCAGGGAAACAGCTAAAACATGCAGGGTGGTGTTCCTCAAGGACCATGGTTGGGAACTACAAACTTTGACTCATCATTCCAGTGAAATAGACACAATAGAGGAAGACTGACAAGAAAAAAATAAGTTTTTGTAAGTGTTAATATTGTTGGAGGTGTCTGTAGGTGTTACTTTAACAGCAGATCAGGATCACTTTAATTTTTCATCCCTGACTAGTTGTGTTTACAAATGTGTGCTTGCAAAAGAGAAGAAAAATGGATGGAAAATAAATTATGGGAGTATATTTTTGTGTTTTCAGTTCAGTTCTGGTTTTTTTTTTTTTTTTGGTGCTACATAGCCCCTCTGGGTTATTGCAGACACTGAGCACTCAGAGTGTGTAATAAATTGCTAATTGTTTGGTTATGTTCAAACTGCTATCAAGCACATGTGTGTTAGGCAATAAAATCCTGCTAGCTGTTCATTGTTGCACCAAACATTTCTGTGTCTCTGCCTTGTTGACTCTAGAGACTCCCATTTAAACACAGGCACATTCAATGACTGCATACTGAAAATGTGTCCCACACATAGGCCGGCACCTAGCCACGGCTCAGCAGATTTTTATTCTGAACACCTAGAAACCTGCTGTAAAAGGTGTTCAAATGTTGATGAATATCATTGTGGTATGAACTCTGCTAAAGCCACAAAACAGTTTTTATTCTTTTTCAAAAGTGATATTTATAAAGCACTAGTGGCAAATTTCCTAGTTCCTTTAGCCCATTCTTCTTTGAGTTGACAAACTGAATGAGAAAATGAGTGTCATGAACAAACTGTGTGTAGACGTTCAGTGTGAAACACACATCAATAATCAGACTTGCGAGTGTGTGAGTTTGTGTGTGATTCCTACCACAATGTGAGCAACAAGGATCGATGTGTTTTATGGCTGCAAAGCTTTGACTAAAGAAGATTTAATAAAACAGATACGACTCAACAGGTTTCCTGCCACACACACCCACACACACACATAACACACGATCCAAACACTAACAAGACTGATATATTGTATGATGGATGGTAGAGGTTTTACTTACTCACCTCATTCAAACAAATGTGTTTGACTCCTCTCACATTTTCAAAAAGCATTGAGGAGTGGGAAAAAAAAACCCATTGCATAGGATTGTTTGAATAAATAAAATGGGAAGTCACAAGTAATCTTTCTTGCTGCCTGTACCTTTTGGGTTACAATTAGTTTTTTCTGCTTTACACTTTCATACACTGAATGAACACTTTCTTCATCATACTTTACAGGAAAAGTATATTTGTCATGATCAGCTGTTAATGTCATTGAAAATCCATGTCAAAACTACAGCACTCCCAGTAATCAGATCAAATGTGCATACAACATCCATCTATTCATCCATCCATCCATCCATCCATCCATCCATCCATCCATCCATCCAT